AAATTAATGTCCCATGTATGCTCTTTATTCAGACATTGTGCAAATTGAATTGTATGATGCTGATTTATATTCTAAAGGTATCCATGGACTAGTGAACTGCGCACTAGAACTTTTACCAGGTAAAAGCTGGAGATAATGGAAGGAGAAGCCTTTCTGGTACCTTCTGAAAGCATGGAAGAGTCCTAAGGAAAGCAGGGCTTAGTACTTTCCTGTTGTAAATTAATGTGTTGTCTTCATACCATTTTTGCAAACAATGATGTAAATACCTGCTGGGCATCATGCAGTTCAGTGCAGGCCTGGCCCAGCCAAGCTGGAAGCCTCTGTGTGAGGAAAACAACCACAGGTGAGTGTGGTGGGTTGACCTTGGCTGGATGCTACTTTGTCCACTGAGCCTCTCTATCACACTCCTCCTCAGCAGGACAGGATGAAGAAAATGAGATGGAAAAAACCTTGTGGCTCAAAGTAAAGGCAGTTTAATAAAGCAGAGATTGCATTCATGGAAGCAAAGGAGCCCAAGAAATTTTGTTTACTTCCCAGAAGGAAGTGCTGTCCAGCCATTTCCTGGGAAGTAGAGCTTCAGTAGGCTTAGCGGTTGCTCCAGATTACAAATGTTTTAAATAATGGATTCTCTGCCTTTCTCCTCCTCTCTCTTAGGTTTTATCCTGAGCAGATGTCATATGGGATATCCTTAGGTCAGTTTGGATCAGCAGTCTTGGCTATGTCCCCTCCCAAGACTTTGCATACTCTCCAGCACTGCTGGGGGAAGATGTTGCAGAGGCAGCCTTGATGCTGTGCCAAAACTGCTCAGCAGTAGCCAAAACACTGATGTGTTACCAGCATCCTTCCAGTTACCAGTACACAGCACATCACTGGGAAGGCTGCTGTGGGGAAAATGACCTCCATCTCAGCCAGACCCCAGACAGTGACACAAGTTGTATTAACAGTTTACTGTATTGAAGTCATACTTTGACTAAATTGCTTTGTTCCTCTAGGCCTGTGTCTCAAATGAGAAGACTATTAACAAAGATTGAGGACTCCAGGGGATAGATGAAATAGGGGTACTGCACAACTCATGTCTCTTGGGACTAATGCAGGGCATGGCTCTGACACAGATGACTCTAAACAGATAAAAAGTCTGCTGGGGTTCTTTCATGCTGCCCTATCCATCACGTGCTGTCGTGCTTTTCACGAGTGTGTGTGCTTGTTTATATAGACTTCTATTTCTGGGAGGAGTTTAAATTGCAGAATACCATGCAGATTGTTCTCTAAGAAGTTGTGCTACAACCTAAAATGTGGGTGTTTGGGGAATTTTGAAATGCAGAGTAATGCCAGTAATAGAACTGTTAGTTGTTTTGAACACTTTTTTCATGTCTTGAGTTACTGGTAAGCTGTGGTTTTGTGCTGGTTCTTGCCTTCTCTCTTTGTGCTTAGGTATGGTGCCAGCTTTTACTAGTGAGTATTGCTGACAGCTGCTACAGTGTGTGGGTAGTGTTAGCTCTCACCAACCCGTTCACCATCCATATAAGTGCCTATTTCAATTTTGGTGTTGTCTGAGACGTGATCTGTTGGTGCAGTATGTTTCTGTGGTGGGCCTTCACTTCTCTATTTTTCTCTTTTTCTAGAGCTGAAGTTACAGAAAATTTCTCATCAGGTGCTGCTTGAGGATTCAGCCTTCAAAGGGCTGGTTCCAATATGTTTTACAGAGAAAGCAATCTAAAGTTAAAGCAGTTTGAGAGAGAGAAGAGATTTTGACTTATCAATGTCAAAACCTGCACCATCTCAGAGTCAAGCTAATCTCTTGGTTCAGGTCCAAATTCCAGCGTGAAAGAGGAAAAATTGAATTATCTCTTGGTTGTTTGATCTATTTCTGTCCTAATCTACTTAGTCTCTAAAATCTAGGAGGTATTGGAAGGATGATGGAAAATCTTTTAGAAAGAAGCTACCTCTGTATTGCCTGTAGAGGTGCTGGGTGTAGTTCTGTGATCACATTGTGTTCAGTCAAGTGTTCCAGGTTCCCTTAACTTTCTCCTACATTTCTTGGTGCCTGCACAAGCATTTGTGGGGCCACTTGATGAACAAAGTTAAAAAAAAAACCCAAACTTGTAAAAACAAAAGTGGTGAGGGAGAAGAAGAGAGAGCGTTAGGTTTAGTCCATATCAATTCCACAGCCTGTAGCTGTTCCCTCTAGCTGCACAAACTCTGTTGCCAGCACAGAGAAGGGAATGACACTGGCCTGAAAGCAAGCTCTTGGCAGATAGGGAGGGGGAGGCAGGACTGGGATGCCTGCTGGTGTTGCTTTATACACATCATCAACTGTGGTGTCTGATTCCAAGCCGGAATAGGAAGATGAGTTCCAACAAATGCTGATGCAATACTCTTCTAAATGCTGTCATCAGCCATTACTAGATTTCTGAAGAAGCCAGAGATTGAATAGAGGAAGGCAAAAAACCTACACTTTGTTCTTATTCTTCTACCCTTGCTCCAGTCCAACAACAAGTTATCTTCCCCAAAAAAGCCTTTGTCCTCTTATGTCTCACTGTAACTGTTGTGTTGTTTAGTAAATCCATGAAGGTGGCTCTGGAAGCCCTGGCACTTCTGCATCAGTCTGGTCTACCTTGTACTTGTGTTGCAATAGAAAGCAGAAATCACAGAAAGTGCTCAGATCTTTTTTTTTAAAAACTGACAGAAACTTCAGTGTCTGATGTCAGTGAGATGTAGCTTCAGCTATTCCAGGGACATTGTAAGCCCTGCATATGTTCCTTGTACTTGTCTGCTCAGATATTCTCGAAGTTTCGTGGTTTCTGAGACCTTCATAGTGTATACCTTGCTAACTCCTTTGCAGAGCTGTGGGGAATATGTGTAAGGAGTTGCAGTCATAAACAAATGCAGTGTATTTTCTCCACCTTCACTGATGGGTTGGGTAGCCTCTGTTTTTGAGGAAAAACATCTTTGCTTACCACTAAGTAGCAGAAATTCCTTTAAGTCATACTTCTAGGTTGCATTGTGATGACTTCTTGCTATGCCCCTGTCTGCGACTGAGCAGTTCATTCCTTAAAGAGTTCTGAGTAAAGCCATTTGGAAAGAAAACAGATAAAGTAGTTTAAAAAAAAAACAGATAAACTGCCCGGAGACAAAAAGGACCACTTGATATCCCAACTTCGTCTTGTTCCTCTTGAGTTTTTCTCTGCCAAGATATTTGCAGAATATCAAGGGTAAAGAGCTTTTCCAGGACAGATTCTACAGTGTTTTCAATGTCATTAAAATGCAGAAACAGAAACTTTGCTTCCTATGTCTGTATTTTCTCTGTTGTTCAGAGAAGATAATTTACAGCAGTATTGCTGCTCAGAGAAGATGGCTGATAATTGATAGTTGAGGATCTACTAAAAACATGCCACAGAAGTTTCACAAAATGTGATATTGTTTACATGTGAGAGTTAAAGTTTCTTTCAGTTTATTATTCCTTAATTAGTACTTACAAGTATGATTTTCCTTTTATATAAATTGCATACGTGCTTTTTTATTCTTGCTGTTGTAATGTTTTTGTGTTCTAACTGCCATTTGGAGGGCTAATGAATAAAATTTCCCTGCTCTGTTCTTGCAATGTGAAAGACTGGGAAAAAATCAGATATATTGCTGGACTTTGAATGTGACTCTGAGATGCTGAAAATTACAGTGCTTATGAAGTAATGAGGGAAACATCAAGAAAATGACCTGATTTTGCTGAGATTTACAAGTTGTTAGTAAAGATGTTATACTTTTATACAAGTAAAATCTAAACATTTATGCTGCAATACAGAAAGATTTTAGTACAGTAATAATAATTCTATGATGGCCTTAGGATGTAAACATGAACTGAAATGGAAACCTTATTCTGAATATGCCCCAGAAAGCAATCAATTCAATTTTTTTAATATAAAATAACTATTACTAAAATTTTCATTGGAATGCTCAGTAAACTTCTTGAATACTCTGAGCATCTCTGATTTTTAGAGTTTCTGAGGTCCTTCAGTTTCAGAAAGTTTCTGTTTTCTGGTTGCTTTCAAATACTGTAGGGAATAATGTAATGTGTAACTTTTTAAAACTTTATTTTTCTCCCGATTCTTTCATGAATTCTATGAACTATGAATGGTGGGATTGGAAAGAATTATTTTCTGGATATCTATTAAGCATAATTATTGGCAAGTAGTAATGCTGCAGTAAAATCTCATTTTGCCAAAAGGATCTTCCTATCATAAAGTATTCAGAGAAATCAGCTGCAGGGGGCATGGGTATCAAGAAAAAGAAGTGAAATTAAACAAGAGAAATGGAACTGAATTAAGTAAGTGAAAAACCCAGTGTGATTTACAAGGTGCACTTTTGCTATTGCAAACTGCAATTCTGTAGAACAGCAGTTCTGTATGTTCACAGAAAAAGTGTTAGAGATCACAGTCTTCGGGAATTGTGGAGATCATTGCTGCTGACAGCCATTTGCAGGTTTGGGATGGTGGGATGCATTTTATAAAATTGGATTTCTGGTGTTACCGTTTCTTTAATTGTTTTGTTTATCCCACAGTTAAAGTTCAGGTTGTGGTTTGTTTTTTCTCTTCAGTCTTGCCGGTTGAAGCTCCCTTCCCAAGCACTCTCGGAATCTTATGGATTTGCCTAAGCAACACAAAAACCATTTAATGAGTAGCTCTTTGCCATTGATAGGCAGCTTTGTTTGTCAGTGTTCCCCCTTAGAACAGAATCATAGACTCATTTACGCTGGAAAAGACCTCTAAGATGTTCGACTCCAATCATTAATTCTTGATACCCTTGTACTTTTTTGTGTGTTTTTCATCTCTCTGCTCTTGTGAGCGTATGGCTGTGTTTTTATACTCATGAAGATAGAGATGTGTGGATGACCATGACTGCACAGAACGTTGAGGATTTTTGGGAATATAATTAAGGCCATTAAGTTGCTTTTATGTGTTGTATATTCCTGGTTGTGCTTTTGACACTCTTACTTTTCTTGGTTATAGATTGGACTTGGCAGACAGTTCCAAGAAGATTCTGTTCCCCAAGGCAGCGATCACGGCTGATGGGATAACTGACCACTGCATCAATGAACAGAAATTCCTTGAGATGACATAGAGAGGGGCGTCCAGGACAATGGTGCAGAAAAAGAAAACCTGCTCTCGGCTACTTGACTATCTAGTGATCATTGGAGCCAGGTAAGGTGAAACAGTCCAGCAGAGCTTTTGCTTGGGCAGTAGAGGGGGGATAAATAGCCTTGCATCCACTGATGAGGCCTTGCCTGACGCTCAGGAAGTGCTGTCTGAAGTGTGTGCAGAGTGTTCCCCTGAGGGGAGCACCTACTTGAGCCAGGGCACTTCTTGAAAGATACTAGCGCAGTCAAAGTTTTTAAATGTGTGGTCTTCAGACTTCTTTTCAAGGATCTGAAAAGGGTGACTAAAAAAAGCTAATTTATCTATCACTCTCTGGTAGTCTGTGTATCTGAACTTTGCTTCTACTAGCATCAGGACAGAGGGATTCACAAATTGGAAACACTGAAAGCTAAATGCAAGTACAAGACAAGTTTTCTACTACTTTTATTACTAGTAATGTACTAGTTGTAGAATAATACTACTTATCTAGCTTTTGAAATGTAGTCTGTAAACTCAGTTTAGAAAAAAATCTGGAACTTGCTTTACTTGGCTGTTTCTCCCTCTAATACTTATTTGTCCTCATAGGAATGACATGAATGCTTTCTGGTTTTAAATTCTTATTAATAGATAAAATGTTATGCATATTTACTTAAAGCACATATGAAATGAAGGGTTGATGTGTTCTGTTTGTCAAACATATAGGTGCTCAGTAAATGTTATTTTTTCCTTATTCAAAGTTTATGCAGTAGCTTTCTGCAAATTCTATGTAATGGGTGTAGGCCAAAGTCTATTTTGGTTTCACTTCTAAATATCAGTGGTTCATGTGCATCAGCCTGTTGCTGTACCTCTTGCTTTCTTTTCAGAATACTTTGAATGCAATGTTTAAATAGGCTGAGTGGAGGAAATTACATAATCCTGACTACTAGTTTTTTTATTATTGCATTTTATGGACAGAACACTGTAATAGTTTAATACTTCTTACTGTCTGTAGAAAAACAACCAAATTTTCTATATGTGTGTCACCAACTAGGAAGAGGAGGTAGAAATGTTAGCTGCCTCCTCCAGTGAAGCTTATGGTGTCTGATGCTCTCACTTAGAAATTTGCTACTATCGCTTCTGGACTCCTACAGTTCTCTTGCTTTTTGCCATCCCATGCTGGTTAGACTGTTTCTGCTCAGAGGTGCTGTCTCATTTGGCACTTTGGCAAATGCCTATGATGAGAGATGGAGCTGGCTGAAGTAGCTTCTCCTACAAAGCCATTAGGAGCTCCATGTGGCCTTTATTGTTACAACTTGTTATCCACTGTGCACAAAGTGCAATGCTTTTTGGAACTTCTAGGTTCAAACTTTCTCCATGTCTGAGAAAACTCTGTTCTTGTAGCTAACATTACAGCAAAGACGTGAAATGGTGATACATGCACTCGTACTTTGTTGATGTCATTTTTTGGACCATTTGCTGCCAAATGACTATCTAGACTGTCTAGATAGTACCAGCATTATTTGACATTTCTTTTTTGGCAGATGATGCATTAGTTGTGTCCATTAACATACAAAAGCATTCTAGTGTTTCTTTTTTTTTTCATACAGTATTTCAGTATCTAACTCTGCAGGCAGTATAAATCTTTTTACCAGTTTTATTATGAAAGCATTTTTCCTTGTTTTAAATAAAATATTAGTTTGGAAGAATTAGTCAGCAGAGCCATTTACACCAGTGATTTTCTTTTGTAAATTATGAGCATTCTATTACTACTTGTTTGAGTTTTTTTCACATCTCATATATGAAAAAAGCAAGTGTCATTTGTATTTTGAAATAGTCAAAAGCATAATATCTTGGAAGAATCTAGTGGAAAATTAGGAAACGACAGTATTGCCTTTCTGTCTTCATGTTTCTGTAGTGATTTGTGGTACGAAGATTAGTGAGTCACAGTGGTAAATAGCTGTGCATGTTACCATAGAGTTTTTATATAAATTACACTCTAAATTCCAATCTGAAAATCAAACACATATGTTTGTGTGGTTGCTAGAACTTTTTAATGAAAATGTTTTTAGGATGGGGTCCATATCACTCCACTGTTTATCTGAGTTCTTCCCTTGTAAATTCTTGTTTTCCCAGTTAAGAATTGATACTGGATTATCTCATTTAATTTTGCATCTTGTTCATAAATGGCTGAAATCTAGGAGCTTTTCCTCTGACTGTGTATTTGGAGAGGGACAGTGTGTTTCCTACCAAAGTGTCACCCAGAGACCTGTGCAGTTAAATTAATTTTGAAAATCAAAGTCAGAGCAGCATGACAATACAGTGTTTTCCTGGGAACAACATATTCCTGGAAGGCCTTTTCTTAATCAGATTTGAACAGGCTCCTTGTTAATGATTGTAGAGACTTAGACTTCTTTACTTAACCTTTCTGCCTTATGCTGCTGAGTGAGCTTTGTGGCTAGTGGCTGAGAAGCTGCACTTTCCCTGGATAGTAGGGAAGAGAGGAAACAAATATGAAGCTGAGTCCACAGGCTCCTGACACATTAATAGGAAGTTCCCAGAAATATTTACTATTAGTCAACTATGTCTGGGTTTTTTTGTTTGTTTCTTTGGTAGGCACCCAAGCAGCGATAGTGTTGCTCAGACTCCTGAACTGCTGCGGCGTTACCCTCTGGAAGACCATGCAGACTTTCCTCTCCCACCCGACGTCGTGTTCTTCTGCCAGCCAGAAGGATGCCTGAGCGTGCGGCAAAAGCGCATGAGCTTCCGTGATGACACTTCCTTCGTCTTCACCCTCACAGACAAGGATACGGGGGTCACTCGCTATGGAATCTGCGTCAACTTCTACCGCTCCTTCCAGAAGCGGGTACCCAAGGAGAAGGGAGAAGGCACGGGGGGACATCGAGCTCGAGAGGGACAGAAGATCCCTAAATCTGGGGATGTGTCAGCACCCCAAGAGGAAGTGGGCACTGAGAGTTCAGAGAGTGGTTCTTCACTGCAGGCTCCCAGTGCAGAGTCTACCCCTGACGTGAATCGATCCCCGCGCAGTAAGCGCCTGGCCAAAGGCAGCCATCGCTCTCGGAACAGCACTCTGACTTCTCTGTGCATCCTTAGTCATTATCCCTTCTTTTCCACCTTCCGTGAGTGTCTGTACACCCTCAAGAGACTTGTGGACTGCTGTAGTGAAAGACTGTTGGGCAAGAAGTTGGGGATTCCACGTGGGGTGCAGAGGTACGTTGAGAGGGAAGAGCTTTTTCCTCCTAGTGTTTGTGTTCATTGCTGCAGTTTATTTACATGGTGAATTGTGGCTGCAGATGTGGTTGCAGAAGCAGCCAGAGACCAAGGGTTGGCCTTTTTCACTGTTTTAACCCAGGTTCACAGTAGGAAAAGGAAATTTTTATAACAATTTCTTTAAAACTTCTCTCTCTGATTCTGTAATCTGGTATAATTTTCATTTTTGATGCTCCTAAGGAGGCACTACCCTTCTGACCACTGAAGCTGAGTGCTGACTGCTGTTACTGTTGCTTTGGCATTTAAGCTCTGTGGCAATATGTGTCAGGACTGATTCTCTGGGAAATTAGAAGCAGCCAAGAAATAACAGAGAGAATTTCCACTTGGGGCAGGAGGGAAATGATGAAAATGTGCTTAACAAGCTTATGAAACAGTCTGAACTTCAGCGTGGGAGAGAAAAGACTAGAGAAGCAGGATCAGCTGAAATAGGTCAAAGTACAATATTTGAAGGAGAGAGGGAGGAGAGGTAGAAAACATAGTTGTCTGGGAAACATGGGAATGGTTGTTGGTAACAGCAAATTGACAGGAACTTGGTGTATATTTAATACAATGGAGTAAACATAATCTATCTGCTGTTACAGTGTGGAGTATGTAACAAAAGCAGTTGCACTGTAGGGTATGGAAGGAACAATGTTTTATGTATTCCATATATCTGTGCTGCTGTGCCTGACATCTCCATTCCAGGATGGTGTTTTCCTGTCCAATGTACTAGCTGAATAGAAAAAGTATGAAATGAATCTCTGGAGAAGCAGAGGATTATCTCAACAGTTTGAGGGACTGCACTATGAGATAGTACATAATGTGAGTTAAGTAGCTTGGTACACTCCAAATTAAACTTGTCAAAAGCAAAAAATGACAGGATTATAATTATGATAATTTTTATCTTTATAAGCTCTTTACATTTTGTGTGAAATGGAAAATGTGTCCTACTCATGGAGCCCTGGCCTACTTCTTGGGCTACTGCCCTGGAATATTTCTAGGAGAGTGTTCTGGGGTAGTATGACTGATTCCTGCATTAGCAAATTAATCACTTGAATCTACTGATGGAGAATAAATTATTTTGTCAGAGCAAAACTTCTCCCCCCAGTGGAAGTATGTGTTAAGGAATGTTATTTTGTTATTTGGTTTAGCCTGATAATTCTTGAGGAAAAAATACCCCACTGAATTTCATGATTTTCCTCAATTTGGTGTTTAAATGACATGTGTATTTGAAAAATTTGCTCTTATTGGACATAATTCTTAAAGAGAATAATTGAGTGATGGATGAGGATGGCAAGAGAAGGAATATTGAGCATACATCTCTGGGAAGAGTAAAGCAGCAGGTTTGAATCACCATGTGGTGACATGGAAAAATAGAATTGTTTTGAAGTGGTAGCAGAATAAAGGTGAAACTGAATCCTTACAGCTGGCAAAAGGTGGAGCTTACCTCTTGGAAGCCTAATGTGCATGACAAGTAGCTAAAGGAAGAGTGGAGGATGAGAAGCATCACAGTTCTGAGAGGTGTATCATGTACTCAGCCTGATCTCAAACTGCCCTTATTTTGAGCCATCCAAGTGTTTCTCAATTATTCTTTGTGAAGCCTCCAGTGTCATAATATTTTTTTCTTTTCTTTATTTTTTTTTTAAAGTTGTGAACTGTAAGATAGAACCTCCAATTTGAACCCATAGCTTTCTAAGGGCTCAAGATATTTATTAGGCTGAAGTTATTTGGGAAGGTGCTACAGGGTAAAGGGCTGAAGTGAACAAGACTCTGTGGTTCCCTTCTCAGATCCAGTTCTGAGTTTTGAAGCTCTGAAGGCCCTGAGCAATGCTGTACATGCTTTTTGGCCAGCCTATGGGCTACAGTTCTTCAATTGGCATCTTAGAGTCTGGAAAACTTGCTGGCTATTTTGCTCAGGTACCTAAATTTTTTCCACACAGCTTTCAGAGATTTAGCTGGAATAGATCCAATTTTCCTTTGGGTTATTCAGCTCTTAAGAATGATACTGGGCAGTTTAGGACAGAATGATGAAAAGTATTTTATCATGCCAAAATATCTAGGAGATCTTGGATGTGGCATATTTTTATTATCTTAGTTTTATCATATTATCTAGAAGCAGAGTCCTGCAGTCGATCTGCTACAGTTCTGGATGAGACAGGAGAGTATCCTGTGTGCCCACTGAATTTCGGGCGGGAGGGTGATGAGAGTTCTTCAGAGATCTGGACCTGACTGAATCCTTTAAATGTGTGAATGAAGTCTGAAGTGGCATACTTGTGTGGATTCCTGCCACAGAGAGATTTATTCTTCCTCACATTGTGAGTTGTGTCAGGAAGCTTAAATGCCTATCTTCCATTCCTTCGTGTGACTGAATGCTTATGAGTTGACTCTTCTAGTCCTTGTCAGATCTACCCTTTCTCTGGAAGAGCCTTGCAGAAAGGCTGTCAAGTGAAATTCTTGGAGTGTTAATCTTGGCGTTCTCCCTGTCCAGGGATACAATGTGGCGGATTTTCACAGGCTCCCTCCTGGTGGAAGAAAAGTCTAGCGCCCTGCTTCATGACTTGCGGGAGATCGAGGCTTGGATATACCGCCTGCTCCGCTCACCCATGCCTGTTGCTGGGCAGAAGCGGGTGGATGTGGAAGTCTTGCCACACGAGTTACAGCCAGCTTTGACCTTTGCTCTTCCTGATCCATCCCGCTTCACTTTGGTGGATTTTCCATTACATCTGCCTTTGGAGTTACTGGGAGTGGATGCTTGCCTGCAGGTGCTGACCTGCATCCTTCTGGAGCACAAGGTAAGGAGGGACGAGGTGATCTTTGGTGAGTATGTAGGAAGTTCTGCCCTCTTCCAAACCAGGGTAGACTGGATATGTAGAACAGCTGTCTCTCTGCACTGGCTGGAATGAATTTTGTCTGTGGAGAATGAGGGGAATAAATAGCTTCTTCTGAAGTTCCTGTTTTGAAGAGTTCTGTTCCCCCTCAAAAAAACCACCCGAAGCTTGTTTTCAGACAGATTGATGGAGGGTTACCAGTTCACAGCCATCGAATTTGAGTCTGCAGAGATCACAAAATCTGTGGTCTTTTTATACACCTGAGGGGAGTATTAGAAGTGAATGGTTGCTGCAGTGCTAATGGGAGTTTCTTGATTGCAGGTTGTATTGCAGTCCCGAGATTATAATGCACTTTCAATGTCTGTGATGGCCTTTGTGGCCATGATCTACCCATTAGAGTACATGTTCCCAGTGATCCCTCTGCTTCCCACCTGCATGGCCTCTGCAGAACAGGTACATATTTTTCCTTTATTGGTCTTTCACAAAAGATGTTTCTGTGATGTCTAAAACTCAGTTAGTTGTAGTCCTTTTTTTATTCACTGTCTTCTCAGAGATTATATCAAAGTCTGCCTTGCAAAGAATATTGCTTGAGAGTGACTATTTAAATCATAGGTAACACCACTTATGTGGGATATCTTCAGAGTGAAGATACTCAGTGAATAGAATGATTCAAAGCAGTAGTTCACAAACAATGGCTGAATGACCATAGATTGACAATATTATGATGATATTTACCCCCTCCCTCCTCAAAACTGAGTATTAAAGTTTGTTGAGGAGGGTCCAGAGCAATATTTAAGGATGCTTGAGGGCTCTTTGATTCAGAGTTCAGAAACTATTGCCTGCAATCTCAGAAATATGAAGCGTTGTGTTACTTCAGCTGGGAGCCTGGGTTTTGCCAATAGTCAGCTCTTTACAGGAACTCATTATTCTGCTTGGAAAGATAGAATTCAGACCATCTTACGACTTCAGTGCTATCCTGATGATATCCTGATGCTGCAGGTTTGTTCTTGTACCCCTCCTTGGAGGTGGCCAACAGTTCTAGATTAAAAGAATAAATTAGCCTCCCAAGTCACTGGTCTCAAGCTGCTATGTGCCTAGTTGATTCAAACCTTTTTCCTCTGCTCATTCCCTTGTCAGAAGCAACCTGAATTTCCCTATAGGTTTTCCACATTCATCTGAAAAAATGTGTCTATCTTGTACTTCTTAGAGATGTTATTATTTTGAAACCAAATTACCACTACAAGCATAAGGGTAAAGTCCTTGTATGTGACTATTTGCAATGGCACAGACTCAGTTTGAGCTGAGGATGTATTCATCCATGACTTCCTGCTTTTCAACTTAGGCTCTTACTATGAACATTTATTTTTTTTTATGGTCCATAACAGACATGGCAAACTGTTTCCGAAGAGCCATGTAGCCATATAAATTATGTCCTGGGTGGGAGTGGGGCATGGAACATGGGAGATGGAAATGTATTTTCTCCTAGATGAAAATTGAGGCTTTCTGTGTGGGAGATTTTATTCACTTTTTTTTTTTCCTTTTTTTTTTTTTAATACTTCCATTGTGCAGTATTAATTACTTATTTATCAATGCCTTTTGTGTTGTCTACTCTGCTATGAACATACTGTAGTCAATAAATAAATATTTGGGAAGAACATGGTGATATCAAATGCAGATCTTGTCCTTAGTAAAGTCTATCTTTCTCTCAGTTGCTTCTAGCCCCTACACCTTATATCATTGGTGTTCCAGCAAGTTTCTTCCTTTACAAACTGGATTTTAAAATGCCTGATGATGTATGGCTTATTGACCTGGATACCAATAGGGTAAGTGGCACCCGTAAGAACTTGTGTCTTTGTTTCCAGGAACTGTGTACTGTCACTAGTGTATTCACTGAGAATTTAGTAATGTCTGCCCTTTGTCTGCCTTTCCTACTTCCATTTTAAACTTTAGGATTCCATTCCTTGTTGTGTCTCAAGGTCCCCATGTCTTTTGCAAAGGATGCATTTGGCATCCTTTTTTAGTTAATTGATCTGACTCTATCATTAGAAGGTAAATCTTCAACCAAATGATAGAACTTTCTTCTTGACTTACTGTCAGACTGTGTCTTACAGCCCTACATAAGAAATCCAGTCTGTTAAGAGTCTTCCCACAGCCTTGGTTGTCATGATTCAAGTGGGGTTATGTCACTTTCTACAAGGGTATGAGCAAGGCTAATTCAAGGAAAATGTGTGTAAAGTAACATCATCTACTTGATGGAAAGTGTGGGTCAATTAAAATTTCTCGTTTTTGTGGTAAATGATAAAGTAACTCAACTGTTTATTATATTGTAAACAGTAACAACCATAAAGAAGTGAAAAGCAGTTGTCTGTGTCTGAGAATGTGGGTTTTTTTTAATTCTTAATTTACTTTTGTGTTTTATTCCTTGGTGTCTGGAGTGATCTTGGTGCTGGAGATTCAGGGGATTCTGTTTTGGAAGTGACTACACCTGGAGAATTTTTAGTGTGTTGTTGTGCTTTATTCCAGGTGATTGTTCCCACAAATGCAGAATCATTGCCAGCACTGCCAGAACCAGAGGCTTCGGAGCTGAAAAAGCATCTGAAACAGGTAATGTGCACTTTGTGGAAAGGACTCTGATTCAGTAGAACATAGCATATGCCCAGCTCTTCTGCTATAGTGGATAAGAATGGAAGTCAGTGAATGTAAAGCTGAAATGTCTCTGTACTCAACAGATGGTTTTTTATTTCTACTGTTGTTTGGGGCTAACTTGTTTCCAGTTGATGCAGAAAGTTCCAGATTCCTCCTTTACGTTTGCCATATGGGCTTTAAACTCTGACTTGATCCATCAAGCTATGATCATCTTTGTTTCCCCTCCATTCACAGATCTGTGTGTGAAGTGTCAGTCTCTCCTCTCAGGTCCTGCTAAGCCATTAATCAGCTTGGGTCATCCTGGCTGATCGTGTCAAGCAGGTTTTATCTCTTTATTTCTGTTTTCCTTATGCACGCTGCATGCAGTATCTAAAGGTAAAGTGTGTTACTAATGTGATGAGGTTTGCTCTTTCTCTTCCTCATAGTCAAGGAGAGGAAAGTGTGTAACCTCTCTGATATCCTGGTACCTGCTGTCAGCACAGATGGAAGTGATGTGTTGCCTGGAGTTTTGTTAGATCAGCCTTCCCCCTACTGCTGCCTCACCCCCTTGCAATTTCAGGCACTATTTAGCAAAACTTTCTCACTACTGCAAAGGCAAACTTGAGTATCAGAAGAACAAGTTGCAATTTTTTTCAAGACAAGTTTAAAATTCTCAGAGTGTTCACCCAAAGTCAGCTTGCATCCCCTGTGTATGGACAGTGTCATTAAGGATTTGCCATTGGCAGAGGGGTACTGCTGGTACGAAGTAGACAAACTGTGGCCCACATTACTAACATTAACACTTCTGTGTGCCTTTGCATATTAGAGTCAATAAATGAATTTCAGGATATCTTATTTTAAACTGTTGTAGAAAGTTCTTAGCTGCATCATTAAGGACAACAGGCTTGCCTGTTTCCAAAGTGGCCAGATATGAATGTTTGGGGGTGGGGCAGTCACACCTCTTTCCTAAGATGTGTCTATTTTGTGGTCCCTTTTGATTTCCTCTCATTCGTGATATTTGGTAGTAATAGATATTTTTTTTCCTTCCATCTGTTTCTCTGTGGTCATGTGTTCGTCTTGGCTCTGATGGGCTGCTGTGGTGTTATCATATGATCTTCCATCTTGCCTCCAGTGTCTGGTTAGCATGACTGCAATCACTCAGAAACAGCTGGTCACTCCTGACAACAAGGTTCTTTATTTTATTCTTTTCCCCTCAATTTTCCATTTTACCTTTTTCCTTTGGAGTATGTTTTGTTTGTTTGTTTGTTTGTTTTGGTTTTATTTATTAATTTATTTTTTAAATTAAAAGATGATGCCTTGGTGGGCAAATGGGATAAATGAGGAAGATTTAGGATAGGTTTAGGAGACCTGGTCTGGGTGTCCAGGACTGATTCACCACTTGTGCTGCTCCTTGAAGACTTTATGAGTGTTGAAGAGGTAGCTTTATGGACAGATGAAGACTTCATTCAAATGGAAAATGGAGGTTTTCAGGGATACAAGCAGATGTTTGTGTAGAAGTGTCTCAAATTACTGGTTGAATAGCCACCTTTAAGGGCAAGTTTCAAGGCCTCTAGTTCCCAAGATGTATTCAAATTACACATGGAAATAACTCTACAAGCAGTAGTTATGCAGTGCCATTCTACTAGTGGTTCAGTTAGGACTCTGTTTTCATGTCATGAATGATCTAGCAAAGTGGAATTCTGTGCTACTCCTTGACTGGCTCCAGGACTGTTTCAGCACTGAGGAGATCATTTTGACAATCAACATAAAGGAGGGCCTGGAGATACTTGTTGACTCAGCATGGAGGTGGTTTGAGACAAATTAATGGAGCATGCATAATTGTTGCAATTGCCTAGAGGGCTGGGTAGCTCTGATCTTTTGTTCCTTAAATAACTGTTCTTGCTGAATGTGTGCATAATGTCCTTCAATAGGCCCTGGCCAGCATGAGCCTGAATACTCAGCCCATTCTTAATCTAGAGAAGTTTCATGAGGGGCAGGAGGTGCCTCTGCTGCTGGGAAGACCACAGAATGATTTGCAGTCTACTCCCTCCACAGAATTCAACCCTTTGATCTATGGAAACGATGTGGACTCTGTTGATGTGGCTACCAGGTAAGGCTTAAAAGGAAGATAGCATTGAGTCTTCATAAAAGTTTGCACTTGAGGGTAGTATAAACATTTCTGTGAGTGAAACACCATCTGTCAGGTACTGTTTTAGATTCTACTTGACATCATGTGGGGAAAAATAGCAGTAATCACAGTGTTTATCTCATATCTGTTACCTGCATGAACATAACTGTATCTTGAGGGGGTGTTTTGCTTGCATTTTCCTATAGATCAACCACTTTACCTGGATTTGTCAGTCTGTATCCTCATCTTAAATCACAAGCCTTGAAATACAGAAAAAAAAAGCTGGGGACTTATTTGTTACCTCAGCTAGTAGAAATGAGAATGATATCCTTCTCTGAATGGGTGTTTGTGTTAAGATGGTGAATTAGAACAAAGTGATTTCTTGGGTCTTGGTTTGTTTGGATTTTTCTTTTATTTTTTGCAAGACAGCTGTTTTCTAAGAAGAGTTAGGTTACCATTCTTCAAAGATTTGAAACATTGTCTGTGGCATGCCTTTTAAGGGTCCTCTTTATACTTTTTTGTTATGCTCTGTGTTTTCATCTCATATATATTGTTCTCTGCTTCTTTTTAGGGTTGCTATGGTGAGATTCTTCAACTCACCAAATGTTTTGCAAGGTTTCCAAATGCATACTCGCACTCTTCGTCTCTTCCCACGACCAGTGGTGGCCTTCCAGGCAAATTCTTTTCTTGCCTCTAGGCCGAAGCAAACACCTTTTGCAGATAAGCTTTCCAGAACGCAGGCAGTAGAATACTTTGGAGAATGGTCACTCAACCCTACTAATTATGCTTTCCAAAGAATTCATAACAGTAAGTGTTGGTCTTGCCTTTCCTGCACTTGGATATAATGCAGGAATTTAAAAACCAGGCATTCTGGGGAAGGGTTTAATTTTATACCATATTAGTCCTGCTGGGGAGGAAAATCTAGTTCAAGGAATATTTTTCTCTTTTTATGTATGGCCTCATGGGTTTCTCGCAACTTAGCCCTGCTATTGGCGAGTTGCTCCTTCAATTAATTTTTCCTCTTGTTTGATTATTGAGAAGTCCTGTAGGCTTCTTAAAGACTGTCCTTTTGTGCAATACTCAGTAGAGGGTATCGTCACTGTGCATGAAGCCTTTGACACCAGTAAATGAGTTTGATTAACTCTCTCGGTTTTTTGTGCAGACATGTTTGACCCAGCCCTAATTGGTGACAAACCCAAGTGGTATGCTCACCAGCTGCAGCCCATCCACTATCGAGTCTATGACACCAATTCACAGCTGGCTGAAGCCCTGAATGTCCCAGCAGAGAAAGAAACAGATTCTGATCCCACTGATGACAGGTTAGTGGGGAACATGTCCGTAGTTACATGAGAGTTATTTCAGATTGCTGGACTTCTCCCACTTCTCATTTGCAGCCTTTTCCTGTAGCCTGCCGGGCTGTTGTTTCATTTCTTGTCTGGGCAGAATACTGACACTGAAGTAAATTTTCTCGCTGCTCTGTTATCACAGCAAACCTCTTAACCCTTTGCTAGTGTATTCATTTAATGCGATTCTCCATCCTTATTTTCCAGTTTTCTTTTGCTACCTGTATGCCACTTGACATTTGTTATTTCCTCACACCCTAATTCTCTTCTCCTCTCTTCTACGCTATTCTTTCTCTGGTTATTTCTGTCGCAGTACTACAAATACTCCCACCCATCTTACTGCTCTTTCTAATCTCTGTTCCCTATCCATAGTTACACAAAGCTTGTTAGTACTACCCACTGCCTGTGACCACCTTGTGTGTTCAGTAAAATGAAAGGAGACTTTATATAGTAGCTTTTGGCCATATTTCTTGGAGTTTTGTGTCCAGTTTTATTCCCTTTCATTCCTTACTGGTTTGTGAGATCTTTCAGCCTTAGACTTGCACATATTTTGCATTTTACACAGCACCAGTGGTCCTAACAGAACAGGATTTATCACTAGTGTAAAAAGAAAATGCTTTTACTTGTGATTCCCAGTTCCCTTGAAGTTGTCCTACATAAACACACATGTGTTTTGTGAATTAATACACTATTCTCTACTCACTTATGTTTGACCTCATTAACTTTGCTAAGAGATTTTAAATGTCTTCCCATAACTCTTCACATACGTGGAAGTTAAATTTTTTGCTCTTACCTTTCATGAAGCTGGCCCCTGGAATTTTTTTTATAGCTACTATGAGATTTTTAGGAGGTCCATGAAAACAATGCTGATTCACATCCTTAAAGTGTCAGAGCCTGCTATTGCTTTGATGCTGCCACTCATCTCTCTCTCTCACCTGTTGTGGCAGTGGCAGTGACAGTGTCGACTATGACGATTCAAGTTCCTCCTACTCCTCTCTTGGTGACTTTGTCAGTGAGATGATGAAATGTGACATTAATGGTGATACCCCAAGTGAGTAACTTTTGCTTTTACTTTTACAAGGTCCACATAGGTTCTAGTTCCCAATTAATCTGCAGCACTTTGGGAAAAAGGCCTCCCCTAAATCCCTGAATCAGAACAAAGTATTGTTCCATTGTGGTTTTGCTCTGAGGTAAAAGTGTGTGGGTAGACTGAAAAAGGACATTTCTCCTGCTTATAAACAACTTCTTCCAAAGGACACTGTGAAGAGGAAGAACAGAAATGGGTGCTGCTGAACAAAACTGGTTCACTAGATCTGGAAACAACTTGCTGCTGCCAGCAGTAAATACTGTCCAATATGGACAGCAGAGTGTGAGCTCCCTCTTGCCCCTGCATGTTGGTCTTCAGTGCTAGCTTTTACTCTAGTGGGGGCAGAAAAATGCATTCTCTGTGGCTTATGTGGAAGCTACATATAAGCTTCATATATAAGCTGTTACATATAACAAAGCCACTCACTTTGTTCAATAAACTAAATCTAGGAGTCCCAAAACATTTCCCGCATCCCAGGGACAAGGGGTAATAATCATAAGCTGCAACAAAAGAAACTCTACTTGGACATAAGGAAAATAACTTAATGGTTATTGTACTTGAAGAAGTTCCCAGGATCACTGTAGAATGTCAAGCCCTTCAAAACTTCCAAAAATTCAGTGGGACAAAGCTCTGAGTAACTTGCTTTAATTTTGAAGGTGCTTCTGCTTTGAGGAGAGAATTGGAATGGATGACCTCCAAAAGCCCTTTACAACCTAAATTTTTATGCAGGTTGATTCTGTTGAGCAGTCCTCATCTTCTAGGGATAGTTAGTTAGATGGGCAAAAGGCTGAGGAAGACAATGTTGTTTAATGAATAATGATGTGTTTGCAGACGTTGACCCCCTGACTCATGCAGCCCTTGGTGATGCTAGTGAAGTGGAATTTGATGATTTTCAAGAATATTCAGGGGATCCTGATGAACAGACCATGGACAGTGAGAACTCCCAAGAGAATAACCAGCCTCGTTCAAGTTCCAGTACTACAGCCAGTAGCAGCCCCAGCACTGTCATCCATGGAGTGAATCATGTGTGTACTGAGATGAGTTCAGCCTCAAGATCAGCGTATTAGGATATAAAGAATGGGAGAATACAAGTGGTTCTTTCTGAGAAGGGCAAAAACTAATAGGACTGTGACACCATGCACAGATTAAATTGCATGCTCACCCTGGACTTTCTGAGCAAGGTGGGGTTTGCTGGTACCCTTATGCTGGGATAGACCATTCCCGTACAAAGAGTTCCAGTGCATTGAAAAATGCAGCATTAGCAGGGAGAAATGGTCCAGGTTGGGACTGCAGGAACTGCTTTTACAGAATATGGAAAGACCTGATGTCTTTAGAGGAACAGAGAGTAGGGTGGGGAAACTCACAAATTTCTGGTCTTTTAAGAAGAATGGGAACATGGTAATGGAAAGCCATTATCCTGAGCTAACATTAGTCAGAGCTGTTTTAAAGGAGAGTAAGTCCCTAGAACAATGCACAAATACTGCAGTGTATATAAAATCCTAGTTTAGAGACACAGATGGTGGGGATGTGGTGGGGGCCCCTTAGCAAGCAGCAAGGACTGTGCAGATTTCCCAGTTTGAAATAATTGTTCTTGTCCTGCCCTTCAGTTGTATGTATCGCAAATTAGCGAACAGATCAATGATTTGACTGGTCCACAGGAGGCAGCAGACTCAGCAGAAATAGAAGAGAAGTTGGCTGCTGGATTTTCAAACCATCTCTCTTCCTTGCCACTGCAAGCAAGCTTTCCCAAGATAAGCTTGGATCGTCGCGAGAGTGACATCGCAGCTGGCAGCATGAGCTCCTCAGAAGGGGTGGTGAGGAAGCGGGAGTATGACAATCCATACTTTGAACCACAGTATGGTTTTCCTACGGAGGATGAAGATGATGAGCAGGAAGAGAGCTATACCCCAAGATTTAACCAGAATCTCAATGGAAGCAGGTGAGTCCTCCTTGTCTCCTGCCCTTCTGTACAGCGCTTCTGGGGTTTCTGTCTGCTTCATGTAGTTTAACATTCGTGCACTCAAATGTCTTTGGCACGTGAGATGTGTTGTTGATCACTTTCATTTAATATTGAAATTCTGTCAACCCTTCTGGTTTGAATAAAAGCACTTGCTTAGTCCCTCAGTTCCTTACTTTTATGTAAGTTGTAGAAGCTATGAGAATTAACAGCTCTTTGTAGAACATTCTGAAATATCATGTACTGATTCTGGAAACTGTTTTGGTAAGTCTTTGTCTTTTGGGGGAAGGATACTGCAATTATTTGTGGCAACGGGTTTTTTGTTACTCTTTTCAAACCAGAACCCTTTCACCTGCAAGTCTGCCAACACCCTTTTGTAGACAAGTTTTCAGCATGCCCTGAAAGGCTATAAAAGCCTGAATGTAGAGATGTTTCAGTTCTTTTTTTTCCTTTTCCTTGTTGGTTTGGGTGTTTTTTTTCTTTCCCAGAAGGTGCAGGTAGTGTGGTGAAAACTGGTGGGAATGAGACCAACATCAGTCTCCCACAACCATACAATGTGTTGGGGTGGGAAGGGGGAATGCTAATAATGGATGTACTTAATTTCTTTAAAGGTCTCAGAAGTTACTCCGGCCAAACAGTTTAAAACTGGCCAGTGATTCTGATGCAGATTCAGATTCCAGGGCCAGCTCCCCAAACTCTACTGTCTCCAACAATAGCAGCGAAGGTTTTGGGGGCATCATGTCTTTTGCAAGTATGTACAATGCATTCATTAAGCTGGTTTTATTTACTGTATCAGAGGGTACAGAGAGATGGAACAGAGGGATGGCTAGTCAAGAGAATGATTTAGCTGTCAAATTGCTACCAGCTCTCCAGTAGTCATAGTGGCTTACTGACAACTGCTGACAACTATTGCTTTCTATATTCTTCAGTAAGAAGGACTTTGGTTTTGTGGTTAGCCCCTTGAATTGTATGGCACTTTAGGGCACAGATCAGAAATTTCTTCAGTTTCATTTTAACAAAGCGTTGTGTAATTTTATGAAATTGATAAAAAAATCTCACAGTAATATGCCTTCCATGCTGTCATGTTGTGTGTTTAGGTGTTAAATTCAATTCCTTGACTGCCTACTTTCAATTATATTTTAATTTAAAAAAAAAAATCACAGGTGTGGAACATGAATCTATAATCTCTTAATGAGTGACAGAAGACATGGCCACTTGAGTCTTGCACTACAGTAAAAAGTGGTGAAAGAAGTTTGTAGCACTGGGGAAAGTATATTTAATGTTTCTGGTAAAATAACTGTTACAAAAAACAAAGAAACAGATTGAAATAATATGTTGACACTTTAAATTAATAACTTGAAGTGTTAATCAACTCCTTATCTAAATGTGATGCTTTCAGACTGTCTACGGGCTTAAGCAGATGATGATGCATAATTGTGTCCTTAAGATCTGCCTGGACCAGGAAGAATGTTTTTTCCTAATAAATGAAAAGCTTCTATTTCAAAGCATGGTTCCATGGCAGATTTACAGTGTTTCACAAGACACAGTGCACAGCCCTCACTTCAGAGTTACACGTTTTGCAGATCTTCTGTCATCCTGTTTTCACACGGGGCCCAGTCATTCATTTGCTCCCAAAACCAGGATCAAACTACAAGGTAGAGCTAAGGTGATGTGATCTAAGTGCAGGAAGACAGAAGGGTTTTGCTGTTACATTTCAGACTTGAAGATGTAACATCAATTATTGTGACATGAATGCTAAGACTTATGTTTTTGTACTGTTTAGAATAATCTGAGTATAGTTGTGGTTGCAATGTAAATGAGGTCATGTTATGGTTGTGAGACTTTTGGGTAATAAAGAAGAACTTAATCATTAAGGGTCTGAAATAAGATGGTGAATTACAGGATCTTTGGGTGTGTGCAGTGAGCAGGAGGCATTTAATTATTTTTGTCTTCTATCATAGGCAGCCTGTACAGAAACCACAGCACAAGTTTCAGTCTGTCCAACTTAGCCCTACCAACCAAAGTTGGGAGAGACAAGAATACTCCCTTTCCCAGCCTGAAAGGTAACCATTTTTCCCTTTGTCTTCTACAGCCTTTTCAGTTCTTGTGACTTGGCAGTCTGAGGTCCTGTCCCTAATAGGAATCCTGGGAGTGAAGCCTTTTGGTCGTTTGGGTAGTACCTGTGTTAAGGAGCAAGTTAATTGTTAATTGTTATGATATTTTTCAGTCAGTCTTTTTCCCAACAATTGGGCTATGTTGGGATGGGAGACTGTCCCGTCTAGGCTGAGTGATACAAAACAAAACCAACATTCTTAGTGTATTTTGTTTTGTTTTATTTTTAACTACTTAGTGTAAAGAATGGGAGCCAAGAGGTAGGTCCTGCTTTTTGTACTGTCACTATCTTCATGCTTAGCCTTAGGTAATTTATTAGAGTGATGATACTGCATTTGTAAGTGGGGGTAATGCCAACCTCCCATGGAGACTGCAGATTACGTGAGTTTCAAAAGTGTTTATCCTCTTTTCAGATTGCTGAATAGAAAATCAAGTTACAACCATGCTTTCAGTTCTATGAGAGTGAAGATCAATCCCAAGCATATGTGCACAATCTTTTCATAGAACGTCTCCTGTTTGTCTGCAGTATCATTAGATGACATGTCTGAATGGGCACTAGAGAAATGGCCCTCACACCATGCGTGTTAGACAGCCTGGTCATCCTTGTACCCAATGCAATATTGCAGGGGTGACTGAGCTTGCACTGGTGTCGTAGTGTTGAGACCTTTTCAGATGCTTTACTGAGGAGAGGTTTTATTTTACCTTTTGAGTTATTCTATCTGATTAGAACTTACTGCTTTTGCTTTAATGTGTTGATTTTTTTTTTCATTTATTTTTTCCTCCTCATCACTTTTATCGGTAAAGATTACTTTAATCTGGAATTGGGAAGGGATGTGGATGAAGGTTGGTATGACGTTTTGCTGACCTTTGACCTTGTAGAAACAAAGACCTAAAGCTAGATTTTGTGTTTCTGCTTTGGGCTTTGTTTTTGAGACAAGTAATCATTCCCTGTGTGTAAAATGAGGAGTAACAGGACTGGTAGGGTGAAAACACTAGCAGAGATTCTGCACAGCTGTTTTTGACAACCTTTTACCAGTTGGTTATGTTTTCATGTCCAGTTGTACTGGATAAGAAACATGCTTTGTGTCAGGGTTTTTTCCATGGGTAAACTTAATGACTGATTCCATGCATTGGAAGAAAACAGTGATGGGGTTTGCCATTCCACATTCATGCTTTGTGCCTCATCTTCTGCACTTTGGTGTTCTTTTCTTGACTATTTTAATCCTGTAGGGCCTTTAATGCTACTGTGCAGATATGAGGATGGGATTTCCATGGAGTAGCTCAGTCTGTTTTATGCATGTGCAACTGTGTGCGAGTATGTGTGTGTGTGTGTCTTCATTTACATGTGCATGCTGGCTCACTGGGATTCCCACTGGGCACTTCAGTGGTTTTTAGATGTTGTTGTCTCTGTTGTAGAGGTACAAAGTTGCTGCATTTACTCGTTCTTGCCAAGTGTGTGTTTCTAACTGTAATGGGAAATGATGCTGGGACTCCATTTCATTGCTGCTGTTTGACCACTTTTCATCTTCCTTTTTAATTTTTATTTCATGCGCATCCATTGATATTTTTTCCTTGGTGATGCAGATGGTTTTTCAGTGCCATTCAAATACAATATATGCAATAATGTCCTTGAAGATGCAATATGCTGGTTCCACTATGCCAAATTTCAAGTCAAGCACTGTCTCTTCAGTTATTCTGGCCCTTGTGGTCTTGGGCTTTCAAACATCCTTCCTGCTCTAGTGTCATTTGGGTTTTATTTTGAGGGAGGGCTGGGAAGAAACTGGTAGTTGGATTCTTTTGATGCTGACAGTGGGGAGTTTAGATATTTCAGTACACTACTAATTGTATATTTTGTGTCCCAGTATTTGGGTTAAATACTATAATGGAGATTATTACTGAAGCTGGCCCAGTAAGCAATGAAGGTGGGTTCCCTACAGCATGAGCTGTGCATGATGTAACAGTTTCCAGCATTCCCTGTGCCTGACTTCGGGCTACCTTTCTTGCTGGGTAACCAGTACCACATGATCTATACTAGTCACCCTCAATGCATTATGCTTTTACATACAGTGACTAATTTGAAGATGGTTCTTGTTGTGGAACTGCATGCAGAGCAGCCAAACTTTTCCTGCCTCTCACCTCCTGCTCCCATTACCATCTTCTCTTTTTCTCTCTGCATTACTCCCATTACTGTTTTCTGCCGATGTGTGACGCTAGAATATGATATATGCTGCTGCTTTTTTGGAGTTTCCATTTTGTTTGAAGTCTGTTACCTGTAATTTGAATAGGTGTGTTAGCCAACTTTAGTTGCTTGTTACTGTGCTGGGATCAGATTGTTTTCTTTCCACCCTTTCCTTTCATTCTGTTTCCTCTCCTCTTTAGGAAACAGGCGAGCCCTTGTTGATCAGAAGTCTTCAGTCATAAAGCACAGCCCAACAGTGAAAAGAGAATCACCATCACCTCAGGGACGAACTAGCAATTCCAGGTAATATTTTTTTCCTGCTTTTGAAGTGTACAGTGTCGTTAGAGTGGCCTCATACCTGGCCAATTTTTCCTAAGAAGTCTAGCTGTTGAAAATTAAATAATGCTTTTCTGTTGTCTTAGACCTGGACATGTTATTGTCTAAGAAGATTTGGTACAGATGTCTTTCAGTTAATGGGACATATGCTTATTTTTCTGTGCTCCAAAATATATCCCCCTTTTGTCTGAGATCCAAAATGTTCTAGGTTTCTACTTTAACTCAGTAGTTATTCTTTGTAATTGAGTGTTCTGAACAAGGTGATCTAGCCCAGTCGAGTTTTAATGCACTATGTAGGGTGATCAACTGAGTACAATGAAGCAGTTTGATTCCATAAATTCATGTGAAGTGCCTTTCTCAGCCTTGGGAATGGTGCAAGTAAACATTACATGACCTCTGCCTGTGCTTTCTCCTCCCTTTCTTATGTAGCAGTCATGGGTAGAGTGAATTAATTTTGATCTACTGGCTTTGGGGGACAAGTAAGGACAATAACTGTAGTTCAGACTGGGCAATGCAGCAGGTTACACGGGAGTTTCCTTCTTACCTTTCCCTCTGTGGCAAAAGAAGCTGAGCAAACATGTGCCACACAAACCATGTGCCAAGGCTGCTGCAGTAATGCATTAATAGTGCTGCACTTCCTCTTTCAAAGAAAGCTTACAGCTCAGACACGGGGGCTGTGGAAGAAGATTGAGGCATAAAGGATTCCTGTGAATTCTGAGGGTTGCTTGAAAGTGAAGGGTGGAGTGGTACCTAGAGGAGCTAGAGGAAAGCCTGATTTTGGCGTTTTATAGGAAATAAAGGACAGAATAAAGTATTTGATACTACACCTATGGAACAGAACTTGAGCTGTGTGCAGTTACATTAGCAGCTAACAGGGCTAGATGTCAACTACTGTTGATAGAGAAGGTACTTCTTGTGTGCCCTGGCCATAGCTCTCTTCCCATGCAAGCCAAAAGAAGCAGAGGGTGACTAACTTTTGCCTGCCTTCTTTTAAATGTGTCAGTGAGAACCAGCAGTTCCTGAAGGAGGTGGTACACAATGTTCTTGATGGGCAAGGTGTTGGCTGGCTGAACATGAAGAGAGTCCGACGTCTGCTGGAGAGTGAGCAGCTCCGCGTCTTTGTACTGAGCAAGCTGAATCGCACGATCCAGTCAGAGGAGGATGCTCGACAGGATGTCATACAGGACGTGGTCAGTGCTGAACTCAGCAGGGTCCTCACACTGAGTGTCTGCTGAGGCTCAGTTCACAGGAAGTTCTTGTCAATTGTGAAAAGCTGATGTTACATCAGTTTAGGAATTTATGTTCTTGAATTACTTTCTCATTTCTGAAATAGCAGCACTAATGGGGATTTCATTACAGGAGATCAGCCGCAAAGTTTATAAAGGCATGCTGGATCTGCTGAAGTGCACTGTGTTAAGCCTGGAGCAATCATATGCAAATGCTGGCCTGGGAGGCATGGCCAGTGTTTTTGGCCTACTAGAGATAGCACATACTCACTACTATAATAAAGGTAAGAAAAGTGTTTATGAGAATACAGTATTTATGAACCAAGCAAGTTTGGGAAGGTAGCTGTTTTTGTGCCTTTTGATATTTCAGGGCTTTTCCAACAGTTCCAAAATGGTGAGAATTGTACCATTGTTACTGAAGCCTTATGAAGCTTGAAGCCTGTTTTGTGTTTCTTATACACGTTACTGGACCAGAGCAAAATAATGGTTATACTGATACTTAATTGAAAGTGGGAACTCTTCAGTGAGATGCAAAACCTGGCACTTCTACAGCTGAAGTGGAAATTTTGGGAATGGGGACCTTCAGCTAAAATTGTTACAGCCACAGTCTTGGAAAGTTGTTGCAGGCAACCTCCGTAGAGAGGGTGATACTTGTAATGTTGAACCATACAAGACTTACATCTCACCAACCACATTGCACTACACAATTGTTCTTATACAACTAAATACTCTTGGAGAAGAAAGTCTGAAAATATCTCTTAATTTTTCAGCTGTTTCTTAAGAATCTGATTCTTGATGCGAAATAAGAGAATGCATGCTAAGGAAGAAAGCAAAAGATGATGAAAAGCTAAATCTCTGCTTAGTATCTGACTTTTCTGTAATCTCAAATGATGGAAAGTTACTTATTTCATTGTAGCAGAGGAGTAGCATCTACTAAACCCTTTATAGTTGGTGTTTTGGGTCTTGCATCAGGGATTTTTTATGAGTTGGCTTAGATACACCCCGTGTTCCTTTCCAGTCACTGTTGGAATGCTGAGGAAGATAAGGAAGGCTGTGCTAGTGGAACAGTCCTGAATGTGGAGAATAGGTTGATCTTGGTAATTACAATTACAATCTTGGTAATTAATTTTAGTCTGACACTGATTCTAAGGAAAATTGGAGTGGCTGATGTAAAGCTCAGTAGTTTTAGAGTGAAGACCAAATAGCATAATTTGATGGTAAGTAGAGTTTTCCCAGAAAACTAATGGTGGTTGTGGCAGACAAAATTTGGTGCAAACTTTTAAAGACTCTTCTCATTATTGCATAGCATTTTAATTTGTAGTCAAGTTTTAGCTGTTTAGTATGTTTTAATTGTTTTCAATTTGTTGAAATTAGTTTTTATTTCTAGAAATGTTTTACAGAGATTAGGCCTTACATTGATACTATTTAACATGTGGTAATAAACTAGTAATCCTACAGGACATGATGGATATAGCTTATCTAGAGCTTGTCTAGAGTAAGCTAAATCTTAATAAAGCATGGTTGTGATTAAGTTATTATAATATGGTCAAACTAAGTACTTGTATTTAGGAACAAGGATAGTTGGCAGTAACAGTAGGACTGGGAGATATATCCTAGGAAGCAGTCTCCTGCTGCTGTGTGTGGCCTTCCCACTATTTACTGTGTCTGTAAAAACTGGGAAGGGGGGCGCTGTGTATCTGTGCATACACATTTGGAATGCAGCTACTGACTTGATGTGTCAGTAACAAGACCCACAGCTGAAGTAGTGCTCCCAGTTCTGGTCATCACACCCTGCAAAGTTGAGGTTTGTGAGAAGATCTACAAGGAATTGGGGAACACTTCTGCTCTTAAGGATGGAAGTGTTTAGTCTGTTGAGTGTTAGGTGTTGATTCTTTTCAATTACTGTCTAAATAGAAAGGTGTTACTAATAGCAGAATCTTAAATTCACTGAACAAAGGTGTCACAAGGTCTAGTGGTATGACAGATTTAGATAATAGGATATGAATTTCTGAGTATTAGATTCATGAGGTATTGGAATAGTTTGTGCAGGAGGCTCTTTATGGAAAACCTGGTTTTAATTATTCTTTTCTGAAGGTTTTGATGTAATTCAGACTGTGGGGTTTGATACAGAGAAATAATCCAAACTGCCTTTAAGGACATATGGTTATAGGAAGTCTCAGACTGATGGAAGAGCTATAGCTGGTTGGCATTTTTGGGGGTTTTTCCCTAACTGAAGTTTCATTTAGTGTTACCCACAAAATTAATTGTATTTGTCATGTTTGCCCTGTAAAAGGAACTTACTTACCTCCTATAAATAGTATTCTTGTTAGTTTAGGCAGAGTTGTTTAATTCTTCACAGTTCGGCAGAGGAGATGCTGCAGTTACTGTGTCAGAGAACATTCCTAGGTTTCAGGTATACAGAAATGAGATACTTGAGTATCCCTAAAACAGTACCCTGGCTTTCTCCTTTACTGTTTCCACCAGCGTGTCAGACTATCAGCAAGCTATGTTGACCTATGGGAACAAATGTGGCAATGAGCTGTTTCAGTGCCAGGCTTAATGATTTAGGTGAGACCATCTGTCTCATCTTTCTTCTCCTGCTCTCATTTCCTTTTTCCTTGTGCTTCTTTCAAGTTCTTTATTTATTTATTTTCTCTCAACACTGTTTTTTTTTATTTAAAGAACCAGAAAAGAGAAAACGAAGTCCTACAGATGGATCTGTCACTCCAGTTGGCAAGGATCCTGCATCATCCCCAAGAGTGGAGCCAAAACCTGCGACACAGCTGCCGGTACCTCAGCTAATGCCAAAGCCACCGAGCCCTGCAGGCAAAGGGCCACGGGAGTTTGACACAAGAAGTCTAAAGGAAGAAAATTTTATTGCTTCCATTGGTGTGTATTGAGGTGCATGTGAAGTGCAGGGGGGACTTCTGGTTTGGCATTAGGTTCTATTTGCATTCTCTCCATTTTAACACACTACATTGCAACAGTAACATGCTTCATTTACACCTTGGGTCACAAGGAACAATCATATGTGTTTTCACCCTACTCTCAGATAAACTATCCACCACAATTTTCTCCCAGAAGTTGTCTAATCTTAATTGTTTCTATATTTCATTACACCTTAAACAGCCTTATTTTTTGCTCTGTGATTGCTGTTTTCCAGCAACGGGAAATGGTAAAAGAGGAACAGGGACAGCAGGACTTCAGAAAGGGCAGCTGTGGAAGGGAAACATGAAACAAAGGTTTTCTGTCATTGCTGGCTACCTGTGAATTATGTAGATTGTATCCTGTTACAAGTGGGATCCAAAATCTGCTGTTTGTTAACAACAAAATTTCCAAAAAGATGTTAGTTATAGTGTTACAGTTTCAGTGAGCAGGACTGATGGATTTTCCTTCTATGCAATAACAAGTAGAATGTGTGTTCTTCTAAACAGCATCTGCTAGGCTGGTCACTGGAGATTTTCCTGTCTTACTCTTTGATGGTATAGCTTTTCCCTATGTCTTGGGTTAAAGTTTGAAGTAGGGCTTTCAGAACTGTTTAATATAAAAAGGGCTTTACAGACTCTTTTGGTGGAGGAGAAAGAAAAAAATTACTTTGGTTGAATGCTGTGGGTTGTAAACATGAGAAGTACCATCAGCATATGAGAAATTTTTTGTCAGCTGCAAAAATACGTCATGTTAAATTATAGATGTTGCTTCTTACAGCCTGTTTAAAATAATGTGGAATCACTGTATGAAAGATTAATCTTCTGAAAGTGTGGTGCTTATATGTGTAGTTTGGCATGAGACAAGGGAATGTGTGTGTTGAGCAGCTGAGCGACAAGACTACAGACATTCTTTCTTATACACACGTAATAACTAAAGGCTGGGTGCTGTTGAGTCCTGAACTTATACTGAACCCCTCTGACTTGATTTGCTTTCTTTTCTAAAGAGGTAATCTATGGAGGCAGTTGCTCAGAAACTAGTCTTGCCCTCGATTTGAAAAGCTGTCAGGAAGCTGAAAGAGTTTCAGATTTCCAGCATTTCAGTTAGTTGTTTGGTTTGCTCTGGGTACTTCATTACTTTTCTGTGGAAGTGAAAAAGGAAAGTATGCTGCTGGCACAACTAAGAATAAACTAGGCTCTAGGACAGTGTTCTTTTAAAGAATGAAGAGAGATTTTTTGATGAGATTGCTAAGACTGCTTCTTTCCCTTAGATGAAATTAAAGCCTCATATAAATGGAAATCATAGAGATCAGATAATTCCTGTTTGTGAAGCATCATAAGAAGTGCTTTTCAAAAGAAGTGCTATGTAATATGCCATGTTAACTATTGTTGCCAGAATATTAGCCTTAAACAATTCACTCTTCAAGGACATGCAGAGGTACATTCTCATTGGTGGTTCTGATGCTATGATGATTTCCACTTGTCTTTATGGAGCTAAATTACAAGAAGGATATGGTTTTACCTAGACTGACCCAAGTTCAAAATACTTGAATGTTTTTCCTGAAGTCTTTTTTTTCTAACTGCTTTTGTCTTTCACCACAAAACATGAACTGGTATGGAAGTCACTTTTTAGGAAATTTCTGTAAAAACAGTGTAGTCTCCATGTTCATCTGACTCATGTGATCTACAAGTAAAGGGTGTTTCTCTTGTGTTGCAGAGAGATAATTTAAAGCTGCTTGCTTACTACCTTTATATTCTGTCATGGGAACTTCAGAATAAGACAACTTCAGATATACAGGATTGGTATTAGTTGTGGCTTAGCTGTGAAATGCAGATGTTCTCATTCAAACTATTTTATTTATGGAAGAGCATTTGGTAAATATTTACATGTTGCTGAATTAACAACATATTTGTAAGTAGTTCCATTTAAACATGGAAAAAAATGTTTTTTATGTGAAGATGATCCAATACTGGAACAGGTTGCCGGGAAAGGTGGTGGATTCTCCATCTGTGGAGAAAGTGAGTACCTGACTGGATATGGTCCTGTGGCAGGCAGCTTTAGTTGATCCTGCTTTAAGCAGGGAGGCTGGACTAGATGATGTCCACAGGTTCCTTTGAACTTCAGTAGTTCCTTGATTCTGTGAAATTTGGAAGGTACTTAGAGCCTCAGGGTGCAGATATGTAAATAAAACTTTGAATTGATCTCTTGGTATTGTGTAGATGAAATGCAAATTTGGCTGCTAACCTCTTTACCTAGATACAGGAGGAAATACTGGAAGGAGAGGTCTTCAGAAGGATGGAATAAAACAATGTACAGCTATGTTTGTAGTAGCATTATGTAAAGTGTATGTTAGTGGGATGATTGAACTGCATCGCACATCTAGAGCTGAATCTGTGGTAGCTGAATCTGTGCAGTTTTCTGGTACTACAGGAATAATGGCCATGAAGTTCACAGGGTTTCCTGTTTCTGAGGTGTAGTGGGATGGAATTTTACTTGCTGAGCTTTGATCTTGACTGTGCTTTGATAACTAATTCCTACCTAGAAAATTCAGTGTGAAGATGATGCTTCTCATACTCACCAGTTGCTTACTTCTGTTCTTCCAGGTTCTTTGTCTTCCAGGGTTCATCATCTGTAGCGTAGGTCATCACCTGTAGTGTAGGTCTTTTTGTTAGGACACTGGTGGCTTTTAAGTTGATAGTTAATTAATTTACCCCTTTTTGTTAGTCATAAGTTTGGTTTATTGCATACTTTCCATAACTGTTAATGAAAATGTCAGTACTTATTGAAGTTTCCATTACTAGTTTTTAAATAATAGTTTAATCCAGTCAGATCACTTTATTTTGGCTGTTTTTTTTTTAAACAGAAAAGATTGTGCTACATACTTCATCTGCATCAGGTCCTTTTTGGACCTGCTGTCCTGTTTAATTCAGGGTCATGCAACAAAATTGTAGTAGGTGTAGTATTTTATGCCCTGTGAGTTTATTTGAAGTTTTGTTTTTCTTCTTTGACTAAGTAGTTGAGAGTAAAATCTAGTTTGTTTTTAATGTGCTAGGATATACTCTACACCAAATTAACAGACAAGTCAGCTAAAAGTAAGTTAATGACAGGTGTTGTAGCTTTCAGACTGGTGATTTTTAAATTAAAGCCAGATAGACTAAGGATGGAAGAGGCCAGATGTTTTCAAAGCCCTTTAACAAACAAATTGAGTCCATCTTAGAGATTGTTATCTGTGCCAGTGTGTGCTCAGCTTGATAAGCCTGTAGGATGCTGTTTGGATCTCTCAGCAATTTTATCTTATCCATCTGTCTATTTATGAAAGTTGAAGGAACATCCATCAATCATGAAGCAGATCTAGAGATTGGTAGGCTAGAACTCATCTTTCTAGCTTTTTCTACCTTGTTGCATTTATGTCATTCCTGATGTCTTTTTTCATAATACTTTGGAGCCTTCCTCTACAGTTATAGCCTATCCTTTTACATTTTTTTTTTCAGTGGATGTTTTGCTGAATAGAACTTATTTAGAGCCTGTCTTATCCATATTTCTGCTATTTGCAGGCTTGAATGGGTTTCTAACACACTTTAGTGACCTTTCAATTGCTCACGAAGTTTTCTTAAAGAGCAGTAAAAGAACATTTTACTTCTTTTTCCTTTCCTTTGCCACTTTTCTAAGAGGGTCTTCCTCTGTAATGTCCCCAGTTTTAATGGTGCAAGTGAGAGAGGACGGTGCCTAACACTCAGAGTCAGCTCAGCATGTCAACTTGTAATGTCTCCTTTGGCCAACAGGCCAGCACCTGGAATGATCTGATGTTTCTGAGCAGAAAAGGTGGCTGCATTTCAGAGAGCTGAACAAAGTGAGTGATAGAAAAGTGCAAGTGCCTCATCACTCTTTTATCCCAGAGCTAAATTTCAAATTCAGTTTTAAGAAAACTTCAGATTGTTTTGCTGGTCTGTGCATTGTATATTCTCTTACGGAATTTGTCAACTTGATTAGAGTGCTGTGACTTTGAGTTTTGGAAGTGGGAATTAAGCACATCTGATATCTTGCTCATTTTAGTTCTTTACCTTTTTCTGTTCTCTATACCCTGACTGGAGCAAGTGGATGCAGTGAAGTTCAGCTCTTTGCATATAGGACAGGTTCATAGGCAGAGCCAGGCATTTATTGAGAATATTGTCAGGTCAAAAATAACTGGTAAACTTTGTGATAAGATATAATATTGGTTAAATATTGTATTAACCTACACTTCAATATTTTTGGAATTGCTGCTGCTGTTTTTGTGTCTTTCTCCTTTCAGTGATATAAACTAGAAACACTAAAATGTTTCTGTTAATTAGAGCTTCTGTGATGCCTATGTTTTAGAGGAGTAAATATCTAAGAGTGTTAAATCCCTTTCTTAGAAAAGGTGATTTTTTGTTCATAAGAGCTGTTTTTCCTTAGTTGATTCACTGTTGTCAAAGTGTGGCCCGAGGAGGGGAGGGGGGATGCACAACCACAACTATATGAAGTCATCTCTAATGTTTGAATACTGTTACTAAGAGATGATGCAGTGGTCAATACATAACATTGATTTCTTTTAAAATGAAATGGTGTTAATTAACCTTTCACTCAGTAGTTGTCATAAAATTCTACTTTTTTTTTTCCTTTTTTTTTCTTTTTTTTGGTGGTTTTTTTTTTTTGGTTTTTGTTTTTTTTTTTTTGGAGGTGAAGGGGTGGGGTTTTTGTTTGAAATTTTTTCCCCATTTTCACCTGTCTGACCAGCTGCTGACTGTTTCTCTTTCTCTCCTGCTTTCAATGCATCTTGGGTAGAATTGTGGAACAAGCACCAGGAAGTGAAAAAGCAAAAATCTTTGGAAAAAACGAGTAAGGAAATTAAAAAAAAATGTAGAAACTGACTCCTCCAGCCTCCCCATAACTGCCAACTCCCCAGGTGCAGGGTGAGCTTGCATCTATGGCACACAGGTTTTATACTCACAAGAACAAAAATCTATCAAGAAAGTCTCCATTGAAGAGACCAAACAGATCTGTTTGCCCTGAGGAAATTGTGTTCAAATATATCTTCTTTTTTTTTTTTTCCTTTCTTTTTTCCTCCCCCAAATACTGCCTTCAAAGAAGAGGAAGCAGGTGTTCTGCTTCCTCACCAATCAGATAAATATGGAAGAATTTTAAGATCTCCTTCCTTAAAAGTTAAAACTTGTTTAACAAGTTGTTGATATGGATATGTTGATTGATTAAATGTTACCAGAATGAAGAATTCCTGTTTGTTCAAGCCGTGGGATGGCGAATTTTAACTGGCATCAACCATGAGCAGTCAGTCTGCAACAAGAAATACTTCTGAGTGGGAGAGAGAAGGTGTATGTGAAGAATTGTATTTAGTGATGGCTTCTAGAAAATAGCCTCATGATAAGGAATCAACTTGATTTTGTTTTTCATATCCCTTGGTAAAGAAGGAGTGAAATAGTTTGAGGCTGTTGCAGAGTCTAAATAATAGTCTAAATCTGCACAAATCTGAACATCTATTGAAATATGATAATGAAGAAAATATTGAAGATTTATACTCTGCAGGTGCAATACCAGGTTTTGCTCTTTTGGTTGTCACTGTTGTAAATAGGGACATATCACATAAGGACAACAGCCAATTTATAACAACCATGTTGTGTTAGGTTTTTCCTAACCATGAGCTTAGTTTGTACTTTGCAGAGCTGATGCTGCCTATTTTCCCAAACAGACTGCAGTTTGGGGAGGATTGATAGCTAAGTTGAGTGAGTGAAGATTCCTCTGGCCAGGCCTGGGTTTGCTTACCTCAGTTAAATCCTTCTGTTAAGTTCTGGAGTTAGTTCAGAGACAATGGGGTGAGTGGGGCACCTCTGCAGTACAGCGTATTCTACTCAAGTGTGAATTGCTATCTGCTGAGGTAGGAGTGTGTGAGACAAACACAGCACATGCACACACCTGCTCTCCCAAATTGAGCCTTTCAGGTAGGTGCCTACATTGGGAGGGATAGAGGTTTTAGTGTTCCATGTGTATTAGACATATGGCTCCATAAAGAAGGGAAATCGAGGTTTTTAAGTGCCTGTAAATTGACAGTGACAACGATGTAATTGTGGCTGTTGTGCTCCTTAAACTCAGTCACAGTCCTCAAATATCTGAACTGCTTTAGTCAATTTCAATTCCTTTAAAAGTCAAACTGCCAGAAACATGCCTGACTTTTGTGTTGGGACAGGAAACTCCTCAATTACTTAAAACACACAGCTGAAATTTTGTGTTACTGCTGTAGTAATGAGATATAAAACTTTTTGCTGTATCAGAACTAGAAATGATGACCACTTGAATGAGCGGAAATAGACCTCTAGAAGTGAGCTATGTGTATTTCAGTGAAGAATAATATTCCAAATTCTTAGGAAAGATATTTTTAGGTATTTTTCTTCATAAATTTTGTTTATGCTTTCTCTTTCTTAGAGTCTTTGAGGACTTGATTAACAGTAACTTAAGGCATTTGGGTCTAGAGACAAAATACTATAAAAATGAAGAATATTTTTGTAAACACTTCACAGGAAGAATTGGTGGTTGAGTAGTAAGCTATTATGGTCTGCACAGCCAGCTTATGGCTTTGCTATTCATGAATTTACATATCATTTCAAACTCACTCACACAAATCTTTGTATATTATCCTTCTCTCTCTCTCTCTCTTCCCTTCCTTTTTTCTTTCCTTTTCACTGTCTTACCCTCTCTAATATTACATATAGTACAAACATGTTCATAATTCCCAGGTTGTTGTGATCATTGGTTGCAGAGATAGTGGCATTGTTTGCTTAGAGATACTGGCTATAGACATGGGTATATAATATAAATATTCCAGCAGCTGATCATGTCTTCCTGTTACTGAATAGTTGGCAGATATGGCTATGGCAGAAGTATTGCATTCAGTCTCTTCCCCTTTCTGAGAGTATTAACATTCTGTGTACAGCCTATAACACACTTCTTTCTTGCATTGTTATTTACTTCATTCAGTGCTTATCCAAATTTCTTTTCAGACTCTACCTCTCTATCATTCTCTTTTCTTTCTGCCATCCCATCTGAGGACAATAGATGATATAATTCTAGAAGTGCATGGGAAATTGAACATGAAGTTCTTTATCCTTTCTTTCCCTTTTTTGTTTTTTTGATCTTTGGGTTAATGAATGCATGAGTTCAAAGCTTGCTGATTCCCTCTCTCTCCTACCTATGTGATTGCCAACTCTGGAGAGCCATTTGTTAATGTAATTGGGGAATGTTGTGAAGTACAGCATCATACAAGCTTAGTCTTTGAAAATCTTGCCGGGTAACACCAATTGTTGCTGTTTATTTTCTTGTCACGTGTTGCCTGATTTTTGCCTAGATAGTTGCAGTGGGCAACCAAAAAAACTCAGTCCAGGACTTTGAGCAATTTAGCTGTTCAAAAAAGGATTCTGACTTTTAAGTAAATAGGTATTATTTTTTATTACCAAGAATTAAAGGAAGTGGCTTCCTAGAGTTGAATGTCAGCTGCTCTGCATGTGTTACTGTAGCTGGAAGCTACTTGACTGTTGTTTGTCTTCTTATCTCTCTTGAATGGCTAAGAAAGGTAGTTTAATTATAGTCACTCTTGAACTTCAGAGTATTTGAAACTCAAACCAATGTTTGAAGACTAGCAGATGTGTTCTGCTGGTCTTGTTGTTTTCAGTACCAAGGAATAATAAAAGTACATTAAAATTCAAATAAATGAGAAAGCAGATCTGTTTTCTTGGTACTGTTCCTGCTTCCAGTCTGTCATCTGCTTTCTCCTTTGCTGTTTTTAGTTGGTACAGTAATTATTTACTTTTTCCTTTGTTCAGGACCAGAAGGTGTGAAACAGTTGGATTTGGGAGAAACAGATGAGAAGAAATCCCAAATCAGTGCAGACAGTGGCCTCAGTTTGGCCTCAGGTTCTCAGGTCAGTGGCTCCTATGCTTGCTTTATTTGTGTGGTAAGAGACAGGATTCTTCTGTTCACTACTTAATTATGGGAAGACTTCTAGGGTTTGAGTATTCTTGAGAGGCTCATTTCTTCACCCCTTACTCTAGGGCATTGGTTTTTGTAAAGTCAGTTACAGGACACCATGATCTTTTTGACACTAAGACAGTAGTTTCTATTTGATTGTCTAAATAAACTAAAGAAGCATAAGGCATGTGATTTAGGAGCCCAGAAGAATGGGAAGTGATGTCCTCTCCTTATGGTAAAAACTAATGTGACCCTTCTTGTCCGTTATATGTTTTGATTGCAGAAGAGTGATTTTGACTCTCTTCCCAGTGGAGGACCAACAGTCATGGTCCGAAGTACAAGCCAGGATTCTGAAGTCAGCACTGTGGTAGGATATGCCCAGAGTGAAATCTGGATGTGATTGACTGCTTGTTAAAGTGGGGAAGGGCATTTTGTGCCTACTATTCGTGTGGTGTGGCAGCACAGTGTCACATACATAATGTACTCTGAGTTCTCTCTCCAGAGCCCCTGAGCGTGTAGCAAGCATGTGTGTCTGACAGAGCATACATTGTGCTTGCTTTATGAGCAGATTGCAGCCTTCACATGTGGTGCTCATTGCTGTTAACATATTCCTACATATTGGTGTTGGATTGCAACAATTCTATAAATATGTCTTAGTTGTGTATAAACCATCTATAAAGAATAGAAGTTTAAAAAGGTAACCTGAGAGCCAAAAAGGCAAATTGTTTGTTGCATTAAAAATAAGAAAAAATCTCAGATGTATTATCCATTGAAGGTAATTGCTTTCTTTTTCTCCATAGGTTAGTAACAGTTCTGGAGAGACGTTGGGAGCAGACAGTGACTTGAGTAGCAATGCTGGTGATGGCCCAAGTGTGGAAAATGGTGGCAATTTAGCAGGATCCAGAGGCACTGTGTCAGACAGTGAAATTGAGACAAACTCTGCTACTAGCTCTATCTTTGTAAGGGCATTGCAGACTTCCTTTGTACAGTAATATTTCAGTGTGTGTGCATGTATGGAAGAGGATCTCTGATTCAGTTCTAAGGGTTAATCAGTTATTACAATGTCAAAGATGTTGTTTTGTCTGGATCCACATACCTTTCTTCATTTCCTGTGCAAAAAATAGTTTTTAGAAAGTAGTAGATTCACATCTTGCACCACCTTAGAGATTCTAGTAATGTTTAATATTAATTCAATATTTCTCTCAACGTAATTGACATTTAATTACCTTTCAAAGGCAATACAACATTAGTGGGCATTGTTCATCCTTACTAAAAGGAAAATTCCCTGTTTCTTAGGAGTAGCTGTTTGGTAGAGTAAAGAAATGATCCATTCTAGTTTTAGCTGCTGTTCTGTTTCTTTAAAATATTGCTTTAATTCTACTTGAAGTGTAATTATAACATTTAAATATATTTGCCTGGTTGGAAGATCTGTATGTGGTAAAATCCAAATGATTTGTGAGCAATTCATTTTGTAAAGTCTTTGATTATTGTGTATAACCTCTAATATACATCTTACCCAGAAAATAAGGATACACTTGATTTGGCTAAATCAAGCTCTCAGTGAAATAAGAAAACAACTTAAGACTAACCTTAAGATTAGTCTCACTGTATTCATTATTTTATAATTGTGACAAGACTGTAAAAGCCTTTACAGGGCTTCTACTTCCAATGTCAAGAAACAAACAAAACCATTGTGTTTCATGGCAGATTTCTACAAAAAACATGAAAATTATTTAACCGTGTCTGCTTCCTTTGTTGCAAGAGGGTGTCCTCTCAGTTACTGAAGAGTCAAACTTTTTTTTTAACATTTACTTTTCTGCCTTTTTCTACTAAACTAAATAGAATAGAACTAAATGGAAACTAAATAAAATTCTAAGAAGGCTTGCAAGAGGTTTAGAGCAAAGATGATGGGTGTATACAATGTGCAGTGAATTCAAATACCGCACCATAGTTTGCCTGGTGGTAGAGAAATGAATGGGCCAGCTTGGTTGTCAGTTCCTGCTGGCTGGTAGTCCCAGCTCTCTGGGCCTACTAGCCAGATGATATGTAATTATTTGCTTAATGTCATACCTTTATGAATGCATAAGTGCGAAATATGAGGGATGACAAAAAAGGTTATTTCCTTTAGTCTGAGGCTTGCAATTTTGATTTGCCTCAGTTTTCCTTCAGGGAAGCATTGTGCCTCCTCTGTGTTTTGATTTCTTTGTCTCTTAGATTTTTCTTTGTCTGACTCTGGACGTTTAAGTGCATTATGGTACTCTTTGAACAAAACAATTGTTTTGTGAATGTTTGCAGGAGAAGCTTTTTTGAAGTACAGTTTGCAAACTGTGTCTGAAACCCAACAGTGCAAGAGTGTTAACTCTCACCTGCAGGGTGCAGAGTTAAGTTCCAATACTTCTTTTGTATTATTTTCAGGCCAAGTCTCACAACTTGAAGCAGAGTGTGAAGGATAGCAAAGGGAGTACTCCAGGGAGAGGTCCAGAGGATGGGAACCAGCGTGTCTATCTGTATGAAGGACTCTTGGGTAAGCTACTTTTTTTGGTGGGGAGGGAATCTTTCATGTTGAAGTTCAGATGAAATCATGTCTAGAATAGACTGGAATTTTCACTTTCCCTGACACTGTTTTTAACCTCTAGCTGTTGTCCATGCTGGTAGAATAGGAAGGCACATCAGACCTTTCAGAGTAAAGCCAAAGTTTTGCTGGGGAAATTGAATAAGTGTAAGAGGAGATTGGTGTGTAGTTTATTTTGGTGTAGTATATATATTATGGTGTAGTAAAATTAAGTCTGTACAAGTCTCTTGCTTTTCTTGGATATGAATTCTTTAAACAGTGTGCAGAAGGGGTGAAAAGCTAAAATTTATCGCTGATCTTGAAAAAAAGATCATTCAGCTTAACTCACTGAACAGAGGGCTAAACTCAGAGTACTTAAGGGCTTCAAGTGTATCCTTGAATTAGGAGTACATTGGCTTTTTTGTATTTTGTCTGGACTTGCTGTTAATCAAAAGCTCTCTCTTCCTGTGTTTTTCATCCTTCCCATTTATCGTTCCTGCCTGCTTGGAATGGTGCAGGTAGGGATAAAGGATCTGTCTGGGACCAGTTAGAGGATGCTGCAATGGAAACCTTCTCTCTGAGTAATAATCTTATCTTTCCACTTCTCTGTGTGTTTGCTGTGATCTGTGTCTGTGTGAGATATTCTTGTCTCTTTTGGGCAGTGTTAACAGTTTACGGAAGAAGATACACTCCTTAAAGAATAGAGATGAGAAGTACTTTACTGTAAGGGGTTAAAAATATTGTGCCATTAATTAGAATGAGAGTTTTGTCTTTTCTTTTACACTTTTCTTCAGCTGTGATATTGCTTGTGGTTTACAAGTAACCTTTTTTTAAAATTTTTTTTAATATAGTTTCATTGTGTGTTGTCTTATGGTATTTTCAAGGAGTGGGAATGAACAGGAATTAACCCTAAAGTATCTGACTGGATAAATGGAATAAATGCTCAATTTTTTTTATACATTGCATAGGCAAAGAGCGTTCAACTTTGTGGGACCAGATGCAGTTCTGGGAAGATGCTTTTTTGGATGCTGTGATGCTAGAGAGAGAAGGAATGGGGATGGACCAGGGACCTCAGGAGATGATTGACAGGTAAATTCTTTAGTAGACCTTTTTCCTCCTCATTTTTTCACTCAGGGCTGAAATAGTAAAAATAGTAGGGAAAAAAACCACTTTAATTCTGCCTAACATGCTATTATCACTTTGTAAACCTTGTTACTATATCTGGCTATTTGAAAGGGAGCCTTTTCTCTCTCTGCTGGTCAGTAGCTGCTAATACTGAAATATTTGTCTTCAGTTATGACATAGGTATTTTTTAACCCTTGTGGTGAGATCTTTCCAGAGAAATCGTTAATGTAAGCATGATAACAATATGAACGGATGGAATAGACTAGATCATTAGTAAAGCAAGAGATTTCTGTGGCAGGATGGCTATATTCTGGAATAATAGTGTGTTGACATAAAGTGAAAGACTTATATATTTCCGGAAAAGGCATTTTGAGCCTTCTCAAAATGCAAAGTGTTTTCACAGCTTGTAGTTAAAAACAAACCAAAAACCTATGAGGAAACCACTCTCTAGAAATATCTGCGTGGTTGCCTAAGGCTTGACTGCTTCTAAGATGTCAATCTTGACTAACTTCCTCTTCCTCCCCCCAGCTCTGTTAACAGCTGATCATTCTGTGCTCTTGTCTACCACCTGCAGCTCTACTGCTAAGCTATCATGGAACATGAAATCTGGTAGCCAAAATAAGAACTAATTTGGGGTGATAGTCTCAAAATTATTATTCCAGAAACTGCCTGCCTTACTGGCAGAAGAGAGTGCCTGATGCGCTTCCTTCATCAGCTTTCTTCTGCCTTGCAGCTGTATTTAAGCTCTAATGCTGGATAGCTCTTGCACTGAGTTATGTGCTCCTCTTCTGACAGCTGTAATTGTCATGGAGCTGTGACTGCAGAGAACAGGAAATGGATAAGCCCAGTGGACCACTAACAGATTTCTCACTGAGCAGATGTTATTTGTTTCAACTAGTTAATAATTAAGGGAAATGTTTAATTACTGATCACAATGTTTTACTGGAAAACGACCATTTAACTTAGTGTTTTTAGAGGTTTTATTTGCCATACACTTCACAAACAGTGCTGTGTCCTTTGCCAGTGCTTTAGTGATGTGGATGAAGAATGCCTGAGTCTGCTTCAGATGTAGCTCTTCTTGCAGGTATCTTTCCCTGGGAGAACACGATCGAAAGCGTTTGGAGGATGATGAGGATCGTTTGTTAGCTACACTGCTGCATAATATGATTGCTTATATGCTCATGATAAAGGTGACTTGTTCTTTTTAATAGATTGCTGCTCACGTTTAAGCAATATATTTTGTTGGTGTTGTCTTGAAACCATACATCTCTGTTTATGAAACTCAGAGCAGTGGATAATAAGGGTAGTTTCTAGAAACTGCAAAGTTGGAAGGCTTTCTGTTACTAGAGAGATGAATTTATTTGAGCTATCAAGAGAGGCATAATCCTGCAAACCCTATGCTTTGGTACTTTATTTTCTTGTTTTGCATAGCAGAGCCTAGTAGGTTTTAATTTTAAAGTATATTAAAAAATATAATGCTTTCTTTCAAGCACAAAGAATCCTTGCTAAAGGAAGGAAGCAGATTGAATTAGTTTTATACACTCCACAACATTAAGGTTGTGATGCAAATGTGTTAAAAATCAGTGTTTCATCCAGCTTGAAATCAGCACTCAAGCATGAGTGTATTACTGTCTTTGAAGCCTTTAGTAACAATGGCCGGCATTTATAGTAGCCTTTCGAAATGGCAACTGAGGCAGAAATATTTTGCTTCTGAGCTTGCCTTCTGCTCATCTTCATCAACCTTTTGCTGTTTGAAGACTCCCTGGGAGTGTTAGAGCCACAGCCTAGTGACCAGGAAACACATGCTGAAAGAATGAGAATTCTGAAAGATATTGAGGGCTCCACAGGTGCCTAACTTGAGTCTGTGCAGAGGAAGAGGTGAAGCTGGTCTGGCCAATGAGACTCAGAAGTGGTAACATAGGGAACTGAGGCTTTTGATGTCAGGAGCTGGAAGTGGTGGGTAGTGGAACTGCAGCTTGTGCACAGGAAATCTGCAGGCAGGAAATCTGTTGAGCACAGCATCCTTTGTACAGTAGCTGAAAAGTGGGATGTGTGCAACGTGGTCCTGTACTGCTGAGTTAAAGAGGCCCTTGCATGAGTGAACTGGAGGTCAGTTATTTTGCTTCTTAGCAATGGAAACCAAGATATGTTTGGGAGATTGGAGTTGCCTCCTGTGAATAGAGGAGAGTATGCAACTGTCTGTGTATCTGCTTTCTAGGTGAACAAGAATGATATTAGGAAAAAGGTGCGTCGTTTAATGGGAAAATCACATATTGGATTGGTGCACAGCCAGCAAATAAATGATATTCTAGACAAACTTGCCAATCTGGTAAGTAAAACAGTGATGAGTGATATACCTCTGGTATCTACAGTGGAAGAGATAAATTGCCTGAAAAAATCTTACGTATATTCTCTGCAACACAAATTTAAAAATATTTAAATTAATTGAATTTTTAAGTGCTACTCTTCACAAGTGTAGAATAAAGACTGTGACTATATGGGCCTGTTTATAATGTTCAGTTAGAGCTGAAATACAAATATGTATAAACATGACACATATCATAGTTCTATGCAACATTAATATTTTGTTAATACGTTTTGTTGGCAGGAACCTTTATGATTACTTTGACTGTAAGAAGTGTTTAGTCTTCTGTCAGTTTCCAGGCCAGTATAAGACCTGTAATCAGTTTCTGTACAAAACTGTTTCCAGAATTCATACAGAATAAACCTGATGTCCTGTAATGATCAATAAGAATATAGGCTAAAGCCTCACTTAGTAAATCTAGGCAGTTTTAAACACAATCATCACCAGGGTGGACACAAGTTAGGCTCTTTTAAAGGTAATTTCTACATTTGGATCTTACTTTTCTGCACAGAAAAGACACAAAATCATCTTATAATTGATTGGGAAAAATCAGACCAGTTTCCTGCAATGATAACAGAACTCAGACACCTCACTTTCCTATACTGAGTATGGTACCCACATGAATGTTGTATGCTGTGGTAACTCTCACAGTCACACTTATTACTCATACTGGAGTATCTTGCTTACGGCTTTGTCTGAATTTATCTCCAAATAAGCTCATTAAATACTGTTAAAAATTCTTCTTTCTTTCATTTGTGTCACCTAATGTCATCCCAATTCATTAATGTGGGTTTTTTTCTAGAATGGACGGGAACTCCCTGTGAGACCCAGTGGCAGCCGCCACATCAAGAAGCAGACTTTTGTAGTACATGCTGGGACAGACACAACAGGAGACATATTTTTCATGGAGGTAGAGACAAGAATAATACTAATGCAAGTAGTAGCGGAAGGAATGAGAGAAATAGATTAAAAAATCTTATGTAATATTTTGTGCTCCCAGGTATGTGATGATTGTATTGTGCTGAGAAGCAACATTGGAACTGTGTATGAACGTTGGTGGTATGAAAAACTCATCAACATGACTTACTGTCCCAAAACAAAAGTGCTTTGCCTCTGGCGCAGGAATGGTCAGGAGACACAACTGAACAAGTTCTACACAAAGAAGGTTTGAATCTTGTTTAATGTAGACAATACTGCAGGGATAACAGCACAGAAAAAACCAAATCCTTTGCGTATCATGTTTCATATTTAATCAAAAAATAGCACTCTCTTTCCAATGCTGGTTACTGAACTGAAATGGCTGTTTAGCAGCACTGACATCAGAAGCTGGCACTGTGCCCTGTCATTTACTTGAAGACAGTTGTCCACCAGCAAGTAATTTAAGAAATGACTTGTAGGTTTTTTGTTAGAAGAAGGAAAGCATCAGTATTACTAAATATTGTGTGAGCTTACAGGCTTGTGAAGATAGTAAAAATATTACAGAGGATTCATGGGCAAAACCTAAATAAAACTATGGCCTAGGAGTTAATTGTATAATTTTTGATCTTAGAATCATAGAATGGCTTGGGTTGGAGGGGACCTTTAAGATCACCTATTTTCCACCCCTCCACTGCCCTGAGACACCTTCCATTAGTCCCACTGTCCGTGTCACTGACAAAGGTGTTAAACAGCATTGGACCCACTACTGACACCTAAGGAACACCACTTGTCACTGGTTTCCACTTGGATATCAAGCCACTGATCTCAACTCTTTTGAATTTTGAGCAGAGTCCATCCATGAAATTTGTTCCTTTATAGTATAGAGTAGCTCAGCCTTCTCTGTGTCCTGTATCTTGGGCTATGGATAGAAAAATTTCTTAAATTTAGCTCTGAGATTATGGCTTAATTTCAGTGTTGAAGGAAAATGAGGAGAAGAACATGCCATAAGGAAATTTATATGAATAACAAAAAGATAGGTATTATGTACATGACTAGCAATCTTGATTGCTGGAAAGAAAGGGAGGGATTATTTTGATAATTTTTCTACAGTAAGAAACTGCATAGACTTGGTTAGAATGTGCCAGGGCATGAACTCTTCACTAGCTTGTGTGGTTAAATGCTATGAAATAGTTTCTCTATCATCTTGTAAAACAAATATAAATACTAACTAGTAATTAGGTGTGCTTGAACTTGAATAGGCTTTTGGTCATCGGACACCATGTGGGGCTTGTTCCTTTTGTAGAATCTTAGAATCTTGCTGTTCTTTTCCCCCCCTTAGTAATTTGGAGAAATAACATTGTATTACTCTTCTTTCATCTGTTAGTGTCGGGAACTGTACTACTGTGTAAAAGACAGTATGGAGCGAGCAGCAGCAAGGCAGCAAAGCATAAAACCAGGTACAAGATTTTACTTGTTGAGAACATTTGTTGTTTAATCTCCAATAAGCAATTTTTAAAATTAATAACTGCTTTGAACGTAATCTCCTTTAATTTGGAAATCTTCGGGAAATTTTGTGCATCCACATGCAAATAGCAGATTGTTGTCTTTAGCAAGAGTGTATTTGAAAGATATTTTAAGAATTGGGCAATAATGTAGTATTAAAAATGTGTTTGAGTTGTGTTAAAGCCATTCCCCAGAGCTCAGTAGTTCTGCAAAACTTAATTTTTCAAAAATAATTTTAAGAATGCACTTTTTAGCTGAACTGAATAATGCAAAAGAAACTAGATGAAAATGATTAGATTATTCACCTATTAATATCCTCTATTAAATTATTGTTTTAATCATATATTGACATTTTAATTGCTTAGAACAATACCATACAGTGCAGTTAACAAATTTAAGCCTCCTTTGTGCTGCTTATGTATCTGTACTTAAGACTCTGCTCTCTATGGTATTATGTGATTACAGGGTCTTACTATACAGAAATGAAATGTGGCATTTAAAGCAAACAAACAATACCCCAATATGACATACAATAAATACAGGATGAACTGACATTGATGTTACTTCATGTTACCAGAATGAAATTTATTACAATACTTAAAATTCTAGTGGTTCTCAGAAACCACTGTCTGTCGTTAGTGAGTGGACTCACTGAAATGACCTCTACTATTCTTAGTAGTGTCCTTTTGCTATACACATCAAGAGGAATTATGTTTTTACTATTTTATATTCCCCTTCCATATACCATGACTTGGCTGACTGCTTTCTGCACCCTCTGTCTCTCTGGATTTTTGTTTTTGGTTTTCTTTTTTTTTGTTGTTTTTTTTTTCTTTGTTTTGTTTTTTTTTTATTCCTTTATTAACATCACAGGTCCTGAGTTGGGTGGTGAGTTCCCTGTGCAGGATATGAAAACCGGTGAAGGAGGTCTTCTTCAGGTCACACTGGAAGGAATTAACTTGAAATTTATGCACAGTCAGGTATGAGGGAAATCTATGAAAAGACTGAGCATGAAGCTTTTTGCAGCACGCCTGTATAGGTGTTTCCTCTTCCCAGAGTATTAATAAGGACAGGGGATAGCTTGGTGTGGGTAAAAAAACTTAGATATATTTACATTCAAACCCATAAGTGTGTATCAATATATATATATATGTTATAACACACTGAATTTAAATATCCTCAGGAAAACTATAATCTGTTAAAGATGTTGGTACATCTTTCAGCTTCTTGTTTCTTGTGGTCTGAATTGTCTAAGCACAAAACAAATGTTAGCCTGTATTAAGGGACAGAGAAAGTGATAAATAATAATCTAAGCTGCTATAATGCATCACACTGTAAACAAATCCTCATTGCATAAGCAGTCAGCCTTAAAGATACAGTTTTTTTATTATTGCAGGTGCAGAAGGCAACTTTCTGTGTTATATTTACTATCATATTTTAAAATTTTAGAAATTATCTGTAGAAGTTTGTATGAAAATAAAATAGGAAACTGGGTCTTGATGTAATTCACAAAAATAAGAAAAAAAGTACTGAATCCTTTTTCCTTCCAAATAACAGATATTGTGGGCATAGAGGAAACACAAGTAGAATTGTCATTTCTTCCTTTCTCTGGATGTTGTTTCTGTTGCTTCCTTTGATCCTTGTTTTTTATTTTGCTTTATGTTTTTTTTGTTTTGCATATATTAAATGCATGCTATGCTAGACAGTAGAATAAATTTTTAGGGGAGAAGGGAGAGTGTGTGTATGTGTGTGTGAGAGAGAGAAAGAAAGCTTCTGTCAGTTCTCTGTGGAGTATTTTTTCCTTTCCTCCTGACTAGACTTTTCTCCCCACACAAGTATTGTTTTTCTTTGAGGATACATCAGTGTAGTTCCCACTGGAAGTGCACATGCATCTCAAACACACATGCTCAGGGTCTTTAATACTTCTCCCAAGGTCACAGCAGCCCCATGTGCCACTTTGAGTTCTTATATGCCAGTATAAGGAGTAGAGAGTTGTGAACCTCCCTCAGTTTCCTTGCTGTCTCTTATGAGGGTAGAACCTGGATTATGTCCAACCTGCCGTAGAGTTTCAGATCTACTGTGTGATGGAACACTCTATTTGTTTAAGTTGCAGATTTTATCTTTTCATTGGGTGTGCTGAAATAAAAAGAGCTGTAAAAGGAAGTTGGTTGTACAGAATGAATTTTCATAGTTCTTGAAAATGGCAGGTCTAAAGTCTTTGAAAGTTAAACCCTGGTCTCAAAGCAACAGTTTGATATCCTTATAGATAGATATACTAGAAATTACTTTGTCCTAAGGCAAGGACACACAATAGGAATATTCTGTTTGCTACTTTGCCCAGAAGTCAAAGAAGTTCTGCTCAAAATGCTCATCTCTATGGAGATGACTCAATTTCATAAATGAAAAGGCAGGCACATTCAGATTTGCAGTGAGAAAAGATGTATGAAAAGATAGCCATAGCAGCAGCAGCATGGTTTTGTAAGTGTAGCAGGCATCTTCACAAGACAAAGATGCTGTCAGTGTTAAGCACATAGTGAGCACACATGTATCTGTGCTAAAGAAAATACCCAGGTTCAAGTCTTTTTTTTTTTCTTTCCTGTAAGACTGGAATGAAATTCAGAACAAAACTTTAGGGAAACCTTGTATTGATTTTTAGTGTGGGACTGTCTGGAGCATTACTTTTATTTTGTACAACAGATACTGAGACCTGTGCTACTAGCAGAACTCGTAAAATACCAGCTTTATAATACCTTTCCTTAGAGAGAATGGTGTTCTAATTTGCTGTCTGTCATGAAGATTCCTATCTTTTTACTGGAAAAGAGTCTGTGCAGGTCAGACCCAGGACATATGCCAGCCGTCTCCTTCACCTGAAAGATTATTCCTTCTCTTCATCACCTTTCCAATGAAGCTGCAGCCAGATGAGTTGCCATTACTTAAGATGGATATTGAAACAAGTGCACTTCTGGAAAATACACTGCATTTATTCAATATGTTTAATTCTTGGTCTGTTAGATTATATTGCCAGCTGACCAGGGCATTCAGTACCATTTAGGAGATCTAAAATATGTATCCTTGTTTTCCTTCTCAAAGTAAAGTGTCTAGATGGATATCAAATGTGTGTCATTTGAGGGTTTCTGTAGAATGGACAAGTGTAGCAGTTCCATAAAGGACTCCTACTAGTTGCTCCATGCAAACAAACAAACAAAAAAATCCCCTCCAGTTTCATAATCTTGGGAGCTAAAGGATGTTGGCATTCTTATTCTGCCACTCATCAACCAGTCTGTTTTCTTAATAAAAGGTCTGCTATTCTGGATGATATTTTTTTTCAATCCTTGTATACATTGTGTGAATTGCTCCCTAAGGTGGTTGATTTCAGAATATTTATATAACCTTCATTAAAACCAGGATCCCACAGCCATTTTTTGGTGTTGAACATGGCATTTTCTATTACTGTTGAGTTTGAATGGGGATACTGACCAACAAAAACCTACAGGATCTCAGCAGGCCCAGCTTTCTCTTCATCTTCCTCTCCTTACTTAATCAGAAGGCCCTGTTCTTAGCTATCTTTCCAAGTATTTATTGTACCTTACTAGTATAAGGGATTTCTATTGCTCTGCTTGACTGGACATCATAGAATTCATTTAGAACATAGAAAGAGGGGTTTCCACTTTTTAAAAGGAAAGTATAAATGGAGTTTACCTGAGAAGACAGAACATACTGCTTGCTGTTATGAAGCTGTTTTTGAAGGCTCTTGATTTGCGGTGTATGTACTTTCTTACCATCCTGTGAATTCCTTAGGAAATGTCTCAGATGCATGGTGGGACAACCTGTTATTGATACGTGAGAGTTGTCTTTAGTGTTCACAGATTGTCTCACCAAGCTGCAGCACATGGAAGTTTAAGAATAAAACATATTGAAGTCTGTCTGTGCCTAGCAGATCAGAGGATGTTCTTCAGAATAGGGAGGAATCAAGTGTACCTGTGGCACTGGCAGATAATTCTGAGTTCACGTCTACAAACTCTGTTGTAATATTGGGACTCAGTAGCCTGTGCCTGTTACAAATTCATCTGTGTTAAAAATAGATGGAAACTTAATAAGATGCATAAAGCATATGCCCATCTACAGTAGGATCCACACTGAATGCTTTGTCTTGAGGAACCACAGTTTCCCTAGGGTAAGTAACTGCTGTTTCCTTTATGTGTGTTTTCTGATGGAGCAAGAGAAGAGCATCTCTGCCCCTTAAACAATATAGCAAGAAATTTTTCTTTGGCTCATATCTTATGAAAATGGATTGTAATTGTGACAAACTTGATAAATTTTCATCTTGCTCATAGGTCTTGTAGAAATGCAGCTCCCCATAACATTAACTCAGATCATGAGCGCCTGGGGCAGTCAAGTCTCTTAGGCAGTTTTATTCTTCCCAAATAAAATGGCCAGTGTTTTGCCTGAGCCTTTCTATTGAGTTTCTGAGTTTTTGTACTTGACATTATTAGCAAAAATTTTTCACAGAAAAGATTACAGAAAAACAGAACTAAGTGCAGTAAAGAAAGTATTCTGTTATTGATTTGTTTATTCTGTAAGTATGTCTCAAAAAAGAAAATGCTTTTGGCCAAGTAAACTGATACAGAACATGAATGAAAACAGGCAACCAAACAGTCTCCTTTCCCTTGAGTGCCTGAACATAAGCAGAAAGCAAGATTTTTGGTTAAGTAAGTGGAAGTTTTGGGGTTTTATGGTGAACAAAAAATATCTCAGGTCTGTTGGTTAGTTCTCTGCCAATAAAAATAACAATAAATTTCATTTGACTTGAAAATCAGCATGTCTTACCTCAGGTGTATGGTGCATTTACTGATCTCTCTTGATACAGATAAGTCTCTTCAAAAACCCTGCAACAATTTCTAATGCTGACATCCTTTGTCTTTCATGCATAGCATATAATGCATGACTACATTGGTGTTGTTAATATGGGATTCAAGAGGGTTGCAGAATTTTCCTTTCCCTTCTTTCCAAGACAGAGTTCTCCAGTACCACTTTAAAAAAAGGTCCTGAGATCATGGTGTCCTAAAGGTGTAGGCACTCAAAGTATCAAACCACACTATTGTAATACAGTTTTGCAAGGACCTCTCTAAGGTGTTTGACATAGACACTGTGAATGTTAGGGCAATGTTACTCTTAGTTTTTCTCTTGCCTTGAGAAGCAAGTCTGCTAGAAACTGGGATATGGATTAGAGTCCTTACAGCACTTGCTACAGCTTCTTATGTCTGTGTTTGTGACTCTTCTGGAGATGTGCACATAAGAAGGGGCTGTTTTGTATGTTCAAATAGATTGGGTGTTAAACAAACTCATTATGGAAGGAGAACTTGTTTATTCATGCAGATTTGGCATCTACATTCTGGACTGGAAAACCTCATCATGTAGTTCAGCTGCTTTTTTCTTCTTGGTTTCATGTATGTAAAACATGACTTTAAGGCAGGTTTGTTTTCTAAATGGCTTGCTCAACTGGCAGAGCCATATGTGAAGTGAGCAAACCATAGAGAAGGATCCAAACTCTCCCATCCTGCTCGAAGCAGAAAACTGGTACTGACTGTTAAAAGGAGATGGTTCCAAGAGTAACTCTGAAGATAATATGTCATAAACTCTAGTAAAATCTTACATGGCAGAACCGTCAGGGAGAAGAAAGGTTAGTGGCTCCTCATTGGATTCAATTTGACTACTTGGTAGGTTAGGAGGATCAGTGTCAGGGTGGGATAGTGCCCCTTACCTGCCCTCTGTGCTGGAGGAGGATGCATGGAGGGGCAGAAACTACCTGGGATGGATCAGAGGCTACAAATAGTGCCAAATTTGGGAGCCAGCTTTATTCTCGTCCCCCTCTTTTGCTGTATTTCAGGTGTGTTGATATTCTTTTTGCAATAACTCATTTGAGTGCCTGAAGGGGTAGCAATGTTGGATATGTCAGAGTTACTAACTCCTTCGTTTCTCTTCCATGCTTTCTCCTCCTGCAAGGAGCGGAAGGTACTTCATCTTCTGCTGTCTTCGCTTCTTAGCACTTTTAAGTTTTTTGTTGATTTCTAGCATTGTGGCAAGTTTGTCTTCTGAATATTTATTTCATCCTTTATTTATATATTAAACTGAAAAATTAAATGAACTGGTAGTGTATGCTATAAAACTTCAGGTTGTATCTGTCGTGATGATTTTTTTGTTTGTTTTGATTTTTGGTTTAAAAAAAAACTCCAAACCCAACTAATTTTGTGTTACTTTTCCTCCTGTTTTTGTAGGTTTTCATAGAGCTGAATCACATTAAAAAGTGCAATACTGTGCGAGGAGTCTTTGTCCTGGAGGAATTTGGTAATTACATTATTTTGATATTAGGTCTGTACTCACATGGCAGTAACTCAAATTTCCAGTCTTCAGATTCAGAGTCGCACTGCAGTTTCAAAGATGGGAGAGAATGTAGGTTCCATATAAGGAGTTGTCTGAGAGATGGGCGACTTTACATAAAAATCTGCACATTAATTTTTATCATGTTAAGATTTGTGATCTAGGTGCTTTTTGTTATTAGACAGAGAAAAGGTCCTGAGTCTTCTGAAATAACGAAAACCAGACGTGGATGTGTGTGTTAATTTTCTTTGGTATGTTCCTTTTTCATCTGAGAAACCACATTTTTAAAGCAGGATTTAAAGTTGGTCTTTCTCAACATACCATTTTTTCATTACAAAGAATTACTGTTAGTTGCAAAGCTTTCTTTTTGCTCGAAGTGTAGTTTAATTTTTGTTTAATGGAGCAGAAGCTATTTCATCAGGTTGTACTTTATTTATCCTGTGGTTTTTATTTTAGAGCATGAGTGGAAAAGTAAAGGTTAAGGAGAACAGAGAGTTTGTGCTATTTTGGTCAGTTACTGCTATTGCATATCTGCCTGCATTGGAGTCTGGGCAAAATTTCAGGTTACTCTTCAGTGTTAGTGTCAGTCACAATGTTCTTAGCTAGGGTCTGAAAACCATATGAGTGACTTCAGATGCAGCTCTCTGGAAGGGTGATCCACATACTTCTCTTGAAACCCAAGTTGGTTTATTCTTCCAGCCATCTTTGGGACATTTGTTTAGGTCTTAGGAGTATGTATGAAACATATAAAAAGAAGCTGAATTTTACAACATTCCATAGTAGATCAGCATACACACTTTGGCCATTAATCAGAATCTGAATCAGCAGCTCCCATTACCAAGACTGTCATTGCTCTTTGGTACTGCGAATGGAATGTTCTGGCTGAGGGATTCTCCTTTGAATTATAGAAGACTATTAATATGAGATTTCTGAAATTAATGTCTTTGTCCATTGCAATGTGTTGTTCTCCTTTGGGTGACACAAATTTCTAAGTGATAAAACCCTTCTGACTGTTGCAGTTTGCTTATTGTTTACTGTAAATCTCCCAGGTGTTTCAGATTTGAATTAGTGAACAATTTTTCCCCATTTATTGGAAATGTTGTTCAAGGTTCATATGATCAGATCTGTATATTTAAAAGATGAAAATTTTCTAATAGTTTAGATGTTTATAAGTTCTGTTCAATTTCTGTTCCTTTGATATCATATTTTCATGCTGATGGGCATGATTTATTTTATTACTTACAGAATTTTTTTAAGTCAGTAAAAGATTATTGATGGGTTTTACAAAGATGAGAATTCAGAAGCCATAAAATTAGCTTAAAGAATGGCTTCAGCTTCTGAAATCTTTATTTTAAAAAATTACTTGGATCAGGAATTAATTTTGGATCATTTTTTCAGGTTTCAGTGCAAAGTACTTCTTTTAATAGTTTGTTTATATTGCACGAGAAGAAAGACAGTGTTTGACTTGGTTATTTCTAATTAATTTGTATTAGTGACTCTGTAACAGAGCATTTAGCCCCTAACTAATGTAAGAAATGTATTTATGTAAGATACTTACGTACGATACTTATCTGAAATGTTTTTATGTAAGTTACTTATCTAAATGTAAGAAAAAGTATTTTTTTACAAAAGATGTCAATCAAGGGCCTATTACAAAAGCTAGAATTGTCTTATGGAACTTATAAAAGAGTAATTTGAAAAAGTAATTAAAAATAAACTGGGAGTTGAAATCTACAATCAAAAACTGAAAAATTAGACCACTTGAGTTAAAAATATCCTCTCTCACAAGATAGAGGTCAAAGACAAGAACAAATTTAGATGTACCAAAAGAGATTGACAGTTTTCCCATCCAGCTAATACTGAGAAAGAAAAAAAAGGAGGCTGTTGCAGAGGAGCTAACTTTTCTTCTTACGCTGAGATTAGAGTCTGCCTCAGAGCTGTTTTTGAATTGCTGTAAGGGTGAGAGGATATGACAATCTGTCCTGTTCAAGATAAATGAACGTGTTTGGTAGTAGTAGACTAAAAGCATTCAGCAAAAACTTGCTTGGACTTCTTAAGAATGAAGTTATTATTTAGTGTCAAACATAGTAAACCTTGCCATCATATTTATTATAGTAGGAGCATGTTGAAGTAGTAGGTGCTCTTAGAAAGGTAGAGTTTGGTAAGTGAGCATACTCCAGTCTGATAGGGAGTACTTCAATGTAGGATTTTTATTTTACCAAGCATGAGTGCTCCAAATTAGTGATAGCACAGGAGGAAATTAAAGCTCTGTTTGTGTTAGTGCTGGGTTTAGATGGCAGCATCACTGTTGGACTTGTGGTTTCTGAGCAGGATGCAAGCAGAGGTTCAGGAATTGTGTTCCAAAGATGAAAGTGTAAACTTAATTAAATGAGGAAGTGTAAGGTTTTTCCCTCTGGAATTTGAGTTACTGCTGTGTACTTGTGCTTTACTTTCTTGTGGCCCCTTCACCACCGCTGCTATGAAAACCTTCATTCTCCAGCAGGTAAAGTGATCTCCCCTGAACTCATTTTGTGGTAGCACCATATTTTCATTTACAGGACCAAAGGCTGCAGGATGGTGCTTAATTTACTCCCTTCATCCACTCAGTTCAAGAGCATCAGAAATAACTTCTAATGTTAGAAGTACTAATCTCTCAGTTTGAGGCTTGAATCTTTGAAAGCTTGGGTCTTTTCTTTGTGGTTTTTTCTTGTTGTGGTGGGAGTTCTTTTTTGGGGGTTTCTTTTGGGGATTTTTTTTGTGGGAGGGAAGTTTCTTTTTTCCTTTCTTCCTTTTTTCTTTGTATTCTGCAGTGGTAGTGCTTTGACTTCTGTGTTTGTAAATGCAAACCCGCTCTTAATCTTCCTAACTCAGTCCTCTCAGGAGAATTTTCTGCATTGGAAGGACTGTGAAGGAGTACTTTAAGTAAAGACAAGGCAACTTACTGTGAAGTGGAGAGACAGTACCTTGCTTAGCTGCTCTCCTGTTCCCTCTCTTCCTATTCTCAATTATGATACAGGACTTTACAGCTTCCCTTCTCTCCTTCCCTCGTGGCACAAGGTCCTTACAGCTTTCCCTTCCTGCTTTTTGAAGAGTATATGAACAGTTGTATGTTATCCAGTGGGCAGTGAGACTTACACAGCTGTAAAAGTCCTACCCTATTTGGCTGTGCACCAGCCTCACTCCCACCCTTATCCCCTGGTGACATGGAGTTAATTTGGAACATCTGGTGCCAACGGGTAAGGTAGCTTGGATGTGCACCTCCTTATCTCCCCAGCTTTAGTCTCTGGTATCACTGGGGCAGTGCAGCCTGGGTGTGCACTTCCCTTGTTTCTCAGCCTTTCATGCAACTGCCAACTCCAAGGAGAGTGAGTGTGGAAAAATAAAACAAAAATATTACTTTTTACCATCATATTCTGTACTTTTCCATAGTTTCTTTTCAAGAATGACAATACCATGACATATGAGAATTAGTAGGTACTGGTTTGTAATTTGAGAACTTTTTCAAACCCAGTCTGCACTGCCTACTCTTGGCCCCTTAGAGTGTGATCCGTCTCCCTCTCCAGCGTTTAGCTGTGTCATATCATAGTTAAAGAGATGACATCTGCATGGATAGGTTTTGTTGTGGATTTTTCCTGGTTCTTCATACTGAACTCATCTGCCTCTGTTTCTTTTCTTGTCACTAGTACTATGTGTAATAAAACATCCTTCCTCTATGAACCTGGAATGATTTGGTTTTGCATAATTTCTGTACTGCTTCTTCTAAATTCTTTTGTTGTGACACAGAAATTTCATGGCAAATTCCAGCTATTCTGGAAGGGAAATACTCAGAGTTGATAGCAATATTCCCCTGATATTGACATTTTAAATTTGCCAGCTGTATGTTCTAGTGTGGTCTTTGTTCTCTTCTGGTGATTTCCCATGGTCTCTGTTCACAACATTTGCAGACCAAGTGCGGGCCAAAGGCACAGTTCAGATGCACTGCACATGAACAGGGTGGTTACTGTTTGCTTTTTTATGCATTCCACAATGAGAAATAAAGATTAATTTCCTTTAGCTTAATTATGCCAGTTTTCTTTCTGTCAGTTTGAGGCAGTGCAGCGGAACAAGGTCAGATTTTCTGGTTAATAGATTTTTTTCATCAGTCTTAATCCTCTTTTTATAGGAAGATTTCTATAAACCAGCCAGCCTGGTATTTTAGGAATATGTGTCACTGAACTCAGCATTTTATTTTAAAGCAACTCGTTCAAAAACTATGAATGTTTTCAGTGAGTATGTCTCAAGTAAATACCATCACACACATCCTGTACAGGAGAAAGACTATATTGAGAAACTTAAAATAGAGCTGGAAAACAGTCTTCCAGTTAAGAAAAATTTCACCCTCAGCTCCATTTTTTCCCCCTGGATTTCACTAGCTTTATACACTATACAGTGTCCAGCAGTTCTTCAGAGATATGTTACTCAGGAGAGAAGGATTCAAACATCTCAAGGGTACAGTCTTTGGGACTCATATAGTGACATATTCCTATGGAATTTTTGGGTTATTTTTTATTGTATTAGGCATTAGGTGTATTTTGTCATTAAACATATTTTTTTAATTTTTACTGTCTAGCAGGAATAAGTAATATGAGAAAAGCCAGAGTCTCTTAAGAATCATCAGATATCTGCTGTGCCAAACAGACACAGTGAAAATTTTTTCCAGTTTGAGTAATTTATTGTGACATTACCTGTGTCTTCCAAGGATATATATAATGTAAATGAAAAGAAGTAGGAGCATGCAGTAGTGAGGGATAGTGAAGTGCCCTGTACCTGCACCTGCTGTCTGTCTGCATCCCTTCCCTTTCCCATGGGAACGTTGTGCTATTTCTTTCCCATTTGCCTCTCGTTTTTTGAACTTTTTGTTTTGTCTCTTGCCCGTCCGGTTTTAGTTCCTGAAACTAAAGAAGTGGTGAGCCACAAGTACAAGACGCCAATGGTGAGTCCACTGTGATGCCTCTGGTGGTTCTCTAGAGGATGTGTCTTTACATTTTCATGTGGAGAAAAGATTACATTGAGACTGCAGGATTTTCACTGAAAACACCAGCTGCTCTTTATGATGTTTTCATCATGGGGAGACAGCAAAACTCAGTGATTGTTGGATCTATGAAATTAGAGGAACTCACCAGTAGTACAGAAAGCACTGTCTCCTTCTTTAAGCCAGATGTTTGAACTTTAGCACTGTAAGAACTGGTGGAACTGTTAATTTTAAGACAGTGCAGAACACAATCCTTGCTCCATAGAACAGATGGAAAGGGAGACTACTTCCTAGGAATAAAATTATTCTTAACAGTTTACAAAAAATTCCCATCTCCTCATGAGCACTGACTTCTCACTGAGAAAATAGTAAAAGTATTAATTCCTGCTGTATAGATGAGTTCTTGTTCTGGTATTATGTTCAGTTTCTATAACATTTTTTGTGAACACCGCAGATGATAATGATCAACTTAATAATCAACAATGTTTAGCACTTTTATACATGATCAGGCTTATAGCACTCATGAGAAAAAAATAGAAACCAATGATTATCATCAGAACTGAAATTTCAGTTTATGTCTGAAGTGCAGTGTGCACATTCAGTGATTTCATGGAGATTCAGTCCTTCAAGAGGAGAGAGAGCAAAATTATTTGAAGAAGCCAGAAATGTTTTAGAACAAAATCCTTAGAATATATGTGGTTTAAGAAGCAAATAGCTGTATCTGTTAGTAAGAAAAGCCAGTTTAATGGAAAAAGAAAAGTATTTTATTGGAAGTGTTTTAGCTTGTACTGCAATACAGCAAAACATATTGTTATGCTTATTACCTTAACAAAAATTTTAAATGTCAGTTTAAAGGACAAGAATTTTTAAGACCACCAGAAGAGCTGGTATTAGAACTAGTATATTAATTAAGTGTAAGTCTTAACTTTTCTGGATTGTGCTGCCAGTCAAATGATAAAAGAGGATTTTTGGTTAAATAATAGCACAGTTAGTCAGTTAACTAATTGTAAAACTGAGTAGTGCTATGTGAAACCCTCTCTTTAGTCAGCTCTTTCAACCCCTCCCAGAAAATATCTTGTAATTTTATGCAACAGGACCAAAAGCAAATATTCAGAATAGTTTTTCTAAAGCCAGTTGGCCAATTTTCTAGCTTAGTATACTGTTCTTAAAAATTATTAAATCATACTGTTAAGCAGCTAATGTTTTTATCCCAAAGGAATTTTTTAGTTTGTTATATGGCTCTTTCTCCATCTCAGTAGAAGGTGGTAGGGGACACATTTTCCTGATTTTGTCTGTAGCCAGAGTAGTTGTCCCATGAAGGAAGACATGGAGGAAAATACAAATGTGCAATGGATTTTGTAAAACACTTAATCTGAATTTTAGTATCTCTTCTTCTAAATTCTTGTAGGCTCATGAGATCTGCTACTCCGTGCTGTGTCTCTTCTCTTATGTGGCTGCAATTCGTGGAAAAGAGGCAGAAAACAAAAGCAAACCACCTCGACCAGTTTCCAGTTGATCATGATACTTGGAAATACCTACCTTTTGGCACACTGATATGCAGTACTCCCAATTTTACTGCAGTTACTGGAGTTCACTTTCTGTCTTTTATGAGAACTTGGTTATTTATGTATGACCCTGCAAGTCTTTCCCCATAGAAAAGCCTAAGCCTTCCCTGTTCAGTCTCCTTCTCAATTCATCCTTAATGGAGTTTATAAATGAGCTTTTAATCAGACAGTTTTGAGCGTGTGCATCCATCTGTGAGTGACTTACTCTGGACATTCCTTTGAGATTCCTTTTTTGTTAAGATGACTTAATGGCTTGAGTTTGGTTGTTTTTTGTTCTAGTGGTACTTGTTACAATTTGATCACTTTACAACTACAGGGTTCTGCTTTCGGATTCTCTGGTATGTGCACAGTGGAAGCAGCCTGGTCCTGTATGTTGTTTCAGTGTTGTGTTTTTCTTGTTTTCCTTCTGTGTTGTTCATTTTTAATTACCAACATGGAGTTCCTGTCGCATAGTTCTACAGTCCCTTTTGGTAGAGATGAACAATTTAGCTGTCATAGTCTTAAAATATCATGTGACAGTTGAAGTTTGGTTATTTAATTGGTCCATCTGTGGAGATGACTGCTTCTCAAGCGGAGAGAGAAGCTTTGAAGGTAGTATATTGTAAAAAACCTCAGCACTTCATGGATTCTGTGGATTTTCAAATGGAAGTTTAGGTAACATTTGTAGCTACCCCGGTGGCAGAGCTCACAGATGCAAATAAGCACTCCCTAAAGCAGTTAATCACAGGGATTAGAAAATGAATGAGGCAGTGTAAAACTTGGAAACATTATTGGCAGAAGCACAGTACAGAAATCTGCAGAACATTTTCAGAAGCCCAGAGGATTTTGCTGTCTCCAAATTTTTTTAACTATTGCTTTTGTATTTTTTTTCAATCTGTATCTGTATAGGGAGGGATCTTGAAAATATTGTGTTTATGTATAATGAAACTCACGTAGTTAAAACAATCCATCACATTCTTTATTTTAAACAGGCTGGATATGAATGTTTTTTTTTGCATCCTGTTTTTGTTCTTGAACTGTACTGCACTTGTCTGGAAAGCTCTTAGGATGCTGGAAGGTGAGACTGTCTAGAGAAAATAATGTTACATGTAAAAATATCAGGAAAAATTGCTCTGATACAAACTGATGTATTGTATGTTTTGACATAAAATTCTGACTAAATGCACCCAGAAATAACCCTGTTTTGGCTTGGTCAGGGTATCTACCATTTGAAATGGAATATACTACTATGGGTGAGGATGATGTAAATATTATAGCATCACATCTATTTATAGAAACTGTACAGCTCTCTGAATGTGAAAATAAAATGTCATTCAACCAGCAGCTGGTTTTCATCCTCCTGTGCTTTTCTATCATTTGTTATTCTGAAACAAATGTAATTATTTACAAAATACACCACACACACACAAGAAATAGTGGAAAAGAGAAGACTCTAAATCAGCAATCTAAATTTCTTTCCACATAATCAGCTTTAAATAATCTTGGGTTTTTTTTGCTTCTAACACAACATCTGTGTAATTTGTCTTAAAAACAAAAGTGTTTGAAGAACATGAATAGGGAAAACAGACACATCTGAAATATGGAAATTTCTTTTGCATGCTTGCAAGTAGAAGTGGTACATAAACAACCTTTCATTTCCTAACATAAAAGCAAAACTGAAATTGGTAAATGATGAAAGTAGCCTGGTTTGAATTTATTTTCTTTCTTTTGTCTTCTGAGATTGTAAATTTTCTTATAGAAATATCTAAATTTTTAGCATTTGTAGTTTTCTGCATGCTACTGTATTTCAAGTACAGTTAAGACTGAAAGCACTTTGGTCTACAACAGAGGTTCCATTTATCCAATGCTGGGTCCCACTGAGGTAGACAATTTTGATTTTTACATTGTAATTATGTTAGTAGGCCTATTAGCATAATCAACTTAAAATTATAGGGGGAAGATTATTAAATGCACAACATAATTTACTATATACAGCTCCTTTTTAAATTACATAAGCTGCTGTCTGCTTTAGGCTGATGAGAAACGTCAGTGCAGAATAAGACTTTTAAAGGACCTGATAGTAAAAATGGCCCTCTGTCCCTTTTGACAGAATTTGTTTTGAAGAACAAGTGCAGCTAAATATAGTGCTTGCTGTTCTGTGGCTGGGATGAATCAGAAACAAGCTCAGCAACTGCACTGACGCTGGGCTTCAATACTGAAGACATTTTTGAAATATATAAAATCTTTTGCATACTTGATGTTGGGGGTGTAGCATTTTTATCTGAGCCAAAGACGTGCTGTGCAGATTTCCACCACTGAATGCCCAGTGCTGCTCTCTGCAGCAAATTCATCCAAATGCAAATGCAAGTTGGATTTTAAATGGGTACAAAAGCATAAATCTTTTGGAATATAGTCTTCCATCCTTTCCACTCCATCACTCTGAAGTGCTAAGAGGTAGATAAACTTTATTTTGGAGGGAAAAAAAATAGTTACAGTGATTTGCAAGTATTTTTAGTTATGTCCCACTCATTTTGATGTTTAGGTAACAATTCCTTGGCAATAGGTAAGAACGTAGAGGTCTCTAAGCCTTCCAGAACCAAATGGAAAGCTAACAGGCTATTTGGTAACTATAGATTGTGCTAGAAATTTCTTAACACAAAAAGAATAATTCTTACATTTTTACCACTAGGAGGAGCCTGTGTCTTAGTTTTTAAGCATTTCAAAATTGCAACCTTTTTATTTTAACATTTGTGTTATTTCCAAGGCACTTACACAAATGTGATAACGTAGACTTGCCTTAAAACTTTCTTATGGCTAAACAGATTTCTTCTGCTACAATTTCTTATTTGTGGATGTTGGTTTTCAAAGTGACAGTTATTAAGTGTTCTCTGCAAACACTGGAATTTGTGTGTAGTCTTCCTGGCAGTTTTCAAAGTGGAATGTAAGTTACAAATTTATCTGTACTCTGATTATCAGATCTTCACTGTGATATTCCCAAAATGCTCTTTTTTTATTTGTGAATGCATGTCCACTTCTAATATGAGTGGGTCCACACTTTAAAGGTTAAAAGTTTAAGTATCAGCGAGTGTCACGACACTGGTACTTATTGAGTGATATTTGTTAAAGGTGTATCTTTAAAAAAAAAAATTGAAAAAGAAAAAGCATTTTGAAGGTCTGTTGAAGGGGAGAGCTCATTACTTTAAGAAACCTGCTGTAAAAATTTCCTACACCCTGATTCCTAACTTCAGATAATCTCTACCATCCTACTTTAACACTTTCAGGATAGCAGAGTAAGATGAAATGTTCATCTGAGTATTAAAAAGCTAAATTGCTAGTAAATATAAGCCATTAAGAATTGCAATTCCAATTAAAGTTCTAGCTTGGTAATCAAAGTGGATGGGAAAATTGTCTGTGATTGTAAGCATTAGGAACCTTTATGTTGCAAAAATATTGAAACTATTTCTATAATGGTGCTGCTTATGCCAGAAGGGGACTTTTGGCTCACAGAGCATGTTTCTAATAAGGATGCAGTTGCCTGCAATGGTAACAAATCAGCTGCTTGCCCCAGTGTCAGGCATAGGCTCCTGTTATCACTGAATACAGAAAGAGGCAGAAAATAGAAGCTAAGCTTCTCACAAAGAGCAATATTTACATCCCAGTTCCCCTTGATTGCCAAAGGGATGAAAGTCAGATGATGTTGCCTCTGAGGCAAGTTCTTCCTTCTGGGAAAAAAAATGTTTTCTGCTTAACTCAGCCCCGGTGGTATTTACAAACTGAAGGTCTCTGCTCTTAGACAAGCCAGGTGTTGTTGAAAGAAAACATCTCCGAGCTCCAGAAGAAGTGGGAATAGGGACCGAGAAACAGCAGCTTTGTGCAAAGAACCTTGTCATACAAAAGGCAGTTCCAAAGAGCTTCTTGCTGTTCCAGAAGTCACAGTTCAGCCAGAGGCATCTGCTTGTCACAAGGGCAGGACTCTCCCAGGCAGCTGAGTGGTGACTTTGCCTGTGCTGGTGGTAAAGGCTTCACACAGAGCCCTTCCCTGTGACACCCTTGGAAGGTGTTCAGTGTGAACAACAGCTTTGAGATTCTACAGCCATTCCCAGTGTCGCTGTTCACTAAAATTGTAGAAATACGATGAAGCTTTAAATAATATTAGGTATGTGACCCATCTTTCCAGCACTGTGTCTGGAGGTTTAAAAGCTTGATGTTGGTGACAACGGAGGTTTGAGTAGTGACAAGGGAGGTTTGAGTACAGCTGAGTACATGAAACGTTTAGAGGACCTCTTTCAGGCACGTACCAGATATTTATCATACTTATATGATAAAAATGATCTCATTGTTTATACCAAGGTCAGTAAAATTGTAAGTTAACTTTCTGTTTACAGGTGTACAATCTTTTGAAACTTCTGCAGCATAGTAGTTCTAGCACTGATTGATTTTGTTTTAAAGGATCAGTCCAACAAAGAAGCATATATATGTCAGCCAAGGGCAAACAGTCTTGCTTTTATTTGCAGCAGTCACTATAGTGATAAAAGTGGTTTAGAAACCTGCATAGAAATAGAAATCCCCATCTCCCAAAATAGCTCTATATAAAAAGGAACAAACTGTGTCAGGAAAAACACCAATAAAACTCTAAATAGTTGCTTCCTTCAAGTATCTGAAAACTCTGGTTCTGTATTCTCATTCTTTCCACTTGTTTTTGCCTTTTCGGTTTCTCATATTAACTCCAGTGAGTACAAGTCTATCCATAGTGCTCTGGATATCAAAGGACTCTCCTTCTTTTCTTTTTACACATTGCCCTGCTTGGATTCCTCACTGTTTCCTCACACATCCTTTGCCTACACTCTCTCCAGCCAGTCAGGCCCAGCTCTGCACCTCAATTTCCCATCAGATCATCTCCAACTTTTGCCATTTGTAGCTTTTTCATACATTCTTGCCTCTGTGGCCATCATCATCTCCCAGCCTCTTTCCCCAGGCGCTTCAGACTTATGGTCTTCCCAGTCACCTGCTCAACCAGTCCCTGCCCCTTCCCAGCTTCCTGTCACAGTCTCATCTTCTCTCCTGTTCTTACCAAGTGCTCTGTCATCATCTTTCATTCTCAGCCTTATTCCATGCTTACTCCTCTTGCATTTAAATCAAGTTATTTTTGGTGGAGTGCTGAAGAGTGCTATAGAGGGAAGGGGAAAAGCTTCCAGTCTTAGTTCTGCTGTTCTGTGATAGCTCCCAGCAGCAGCTCTTCCCTACACTGCTTGTTAGAAATGGCTTAACCATTTAATCCAATACTAAAAATAAATAAATTTGTCTAAACCAGATTTGTAGCTTAAAAAATTTAATAAATTGTTAGAGTTTTTCAGTACAGTAGGAAACAAAAATCATAAAAGCAAATACTATGCTTTGTAAACACACAGTCCAGTTTTCCCCCCCCTTACACCAGTGAGGAAGAACAAGTCCTGTTTTCAGGTAGAAATTTTTGAGGACTTTCCTATGATCAAAATCTACTATACTTGGGGTTTTCTTTTCAGGCATCACATGCAATGAGCTAACCTGCAAAGCAGAAGAGAACCTTGTATTTTTTGGTCATTTTTTCCCTGGGTATATGAAAACTGTAAGTAAATAAAAGTGTATTTGAGAGTTATATTGATACTTAGTCTTTTCATGATTTCCTGGAATATATCTGGATTTCTGGGGCAACTGTTAGCATTATGACAGATACCAAAGAAATGCAACCTTATTGAAAGTTAAATTGTATTCATCCACAATTTGGGTTCATGTATTCGGGTCCTACAATTTATACTTCCAAGCAAAGCAATGGAAACTATGTATGATATTGTTTATGTTTGCTAAGTACATTGTATAGAAAACAAAATCATGTTCAGATTATTATCCATGGTTAAGAAGAAGAAGGGAGCACACTTAACACTTATCTTTGTTTTACATTTCCATACCAGTGATGTTTTATATATTTTAGCTTAGTCACATTTTTAGATTATTTGTCTTTGATACAGCTGTCCTAATATACAATTATTGACTGAAATGTGTTCACAGCTATGCCATTTATCTGTTCTTTCAGGGCTGGTTATTGTCAATGATTTTGTCTGGCACAGAAAGCAGATGCTTGACTATTTTTTCCATATCTGGACCTAATAAGTGAGGCGGTTCTTATCTGTTTCTTTTAAACTTTCACCAGTTCATTCTGTTTAGGATGTGTTGCTTATG